ATATAGGATAGGATATATAGGATAGTACAGGATATATAGGATAGGATCAGATATATAGGATAGTACAGGATAAATAGTAAGGATAGGATATATAGGATAGTACAGGATATATAGGATAGAATCAGATATATAGGATAGTACAGGATAAATAGTAAGGATAGGATATATAGGATAGTACAGGATATATAGGATAGGATATATAGGTTAGGATATATAGGATAGCATAGGATAGGATAGGATATATAGGATAGGATGTATAGGATAGGATGTATAGGATAGGATAGGATATATAGGATAGGATATATAAGATAGGATATGATAAATAGGATGGATATATAGGATAGGATATATAAGATAGGATATGATATATAGGATAGGATATATAGGATAGAATAGGATATATAGGATAGGATAGGATATATAAGATAGGATATGATATATTGAATAGGATTTATAGGATAGGATAGGATATATAAAATAGGATATGATATATAGGACAGGATATATATAGGATAGGATGTATAGGATAGGATATATAGGATAGGATATATAGGATGGGATATATAGGATAGGATATATAAGATAGGATATGATATATAGGGTAGGATAGGACTGGATATATACAGTAGGATTGGATATATAAGATAGGATAAAAATATCACATCTGCAATAAAGCATTACTGCTTTTTATTGCTGGAAAACAGAAGATAAGGTTGTTAATGTTGATAGTACTAAAATATTTTGGCTGTGGAGGATTTCAGTCGTCTGATTTGATCTGGTTAGAATCTCTTTTTCAGTCTGGTCATTTTTGCCTGAATGCATCGTCCTTCCTGAGGGCACAGGGGTGACGCTACCTTTCCTGTTTTTGAGATTGTATTTTTTTTAAGAGTTTAAGACATCTACTTTGGCTTGGTCCTTTTCTGACTGGCCTTCACTGTCCAGCTCATCTCAGTTTATTCTAAATAAACACATAGAAAGAAAAAATCTGCTGTAGATACGATATAACCTGCTTATAACCTTTTACCACAACTTTAATTTTGAAAAATTTTATTGTACTTTTAATATTTATGTAACTCTATAAAGAAATTGCAACAAGTTGCTTGTTGTTAATCAAACTTTATTGCTGGGTTATAAAATGAGGAATATAGGAACCCTGAACATGTGACTACCTAAGGTGTGCTTTTGTTATGTATCCCATCCTTTCCCTCCTCCACAACCCAACATCCATCCACACTGCAGTGGATGTTTGATTCAGCCAAATATGATCTGCTGTCTGTGTTTTATCCCTATTAACATTGTGTTTTATATCCCTTTCGCCCAATTATTAATATATTATTTCGCTCCTGGGTTTTGCTGTAACAAGATTCAAAATCCATACCCAATATGTCCTTAGGACGACTTTGTACTATTTTCGTCTGTCATTATCTGTAATATTCAGGTAGTGAGAATTTACTGAACCCAGCCTATAAGGTTAATGATAAGCCAGCAGGCAATTTGGAAAGTAACAGCATGAGAGTGTTGTGAGTGTAACCTATTTTAATGAGCCCTTGGCAGGAAGCTGTGGTCCACAGAAGAGACACAGATTTACCTCATGTTATGTAAGAATGCTGTCCCTGTTTGTCCTTAAATTTCATTTGGATTACTGCATTCCTGATCTAGTAAGTGGTAAACTGAGTTTAGTTAGGTTTTGACTTCATCCTCCCAGAGAACTAGACCTGAAGAGATTTTTTATAGGTTGAAAACTTTACTTACCCTTTCAAACTGATCAGATGTGTTTTAGGCATATTAAACATGTCAAATATATACATATGTCTTTATTAAAGGGACATGTTATAGTAAACATAAAACCACATTTTTTCTCGTATAACAGCTGCTCTTGCTTTGTCGTTGTGCCACAGGGTCGGGGGGGCCTAAACAGAGTGCCGCTCCAGGAGCTGTACGACCCCTCGATGGAGACGGGTGCTGCTAACTTGGACGACCTGCAGAGATCCTGGGAAACACTGAAGAATGTGGTATGTCAACATTTCAGCCTCATAAAAACAAATATAGACACTACTATTTCTTCTTCTGTGCCACAAACAGGTAATATAGTTCAACTAATCTACTTGCATAACTATGGAGCCAGAAGAAAAAGCATAACTCAAGTGACGGCATATATTACGGACCTACCAGTGAGTCTATTCAGACTCTCCTGTCACTAAATAAGGTTTCTCATCAGATGTATAGCAAATGATTCTTGAAACTAAACTAAGATCAGACCAAAATTGAGGGACCTTCCTGCAGAAGTTTTTAAGAAATGCACATATTTTAACAGTATATGTGACTGTTCACATAAACTACGGTAAGTAGAAATGACGCATTTGTTTTTAAATTATCTAGTAACTTTTATTTTTATTCATCAGTCGTCAGCTCTGTTTCTTTAGTGTAGAAACATCTTAAGTGATGAGGTGAGCTTTACAAGCTGAAATGGCTACAAAGTTTCCCCAAATCTATGGTAAAAGCTCTGATGAGCAGTTGAAAACTAATGGAAGTGGAAAAGACAAACAGATTGAAAGCCCATCTTGGTCAACAAACACAATGTTTATAGAAAGCATTTGAGCTCAAGTTATTTAATAACAGGGAAAAATATAAATATTTATGGATTTTTTTCACTTATACAAAGGTCATTTTTTCTTTACTTAATCCTAAAATGATTGGCTTTCTGTTGCAGATAAGTGAGAAGCAGAAGAGCCTGTATGAAGCCCTGGAGAGGCAGCAACACTATCAGGAATCCCTACAGTCCATTTCTACCAAGATGGAGTCCATCGAAGGGGCGTTGAATGAAAGCCTTGAACCTAGCAAGACCCCTGAGAGCCAAATGGCAGCCCACCAGGTCAGTCAGGAATATTTGTGAAGCTGGATTCATGTGTTAGTTAAAATAATTGTAGAATCAGGATATAGCCAGTGCTCTGTGAAACTGAATTGATACTCCACTTGGACGGGTAACGGTTGCACAGACTGCATGGCATCATTATTCATTGCTATGCCAACATCACAGCTACAGCAGACAGTCTCCTATTCTAACACTGCTAATGGGCAGTTTGAGCAAACCGTCTCCCACAGCTTTCCCACTATCCTCCTTCCCTTCATTAATTCCCCTCAGTCTCTCAGATTCTCACATTTCACCATCTGCCCAGGCCCTTATGGATGAGATCCTGATGCTTCAGGATGAGATTGCTGAGCTGCGGACCTGTTTCTCTGAGGAACTGGCCGACTGTGGAGATGGGAAGGCCGGGGATCAAATGGCCCTGCGGTCCACTCTAACTGTACTGGGAGAAAGGATGGCCACTATTCGCATGAAGGCATCCGGAAAACGGCAGCTACTGGAGGTAGGAACCAAAAAAACCCTCTTGTCTGTAGATAAATATATATATATTTGTGTCAACACATTGAAATCCAATGTGTTTGATGTTTTGACCTGTGAAGGAGAAACTGAGTGAACAGCTTGAGGAGCAGAGACAGGAGCAGGCACTGCAGCGGTACCACAGTGAGGCAGAGGAGCTGGACCACTGGCTGCTCAGCACTCGTGCAACACTCAGTTCTGCCCTTCAGCCCCAAAATGAAGACTTGGACATGGAGGAGCAGCTCATCGACTGTCAGGTCAGATTGACTTCTGTCCTTTTAAAACCCCCACTTTTTTTGCCAAAGTGGAAAAATCTTTACCTGTTTTATTAAGGGTTAGGGGGATTATTCTCCTTTTTTTTCCTTTCAAATTTTCCATCTTTCCTTCATGGAGTAAAGTATTTTCATTCAGGCCTACGTCTATTTGAGAGTGAACTGTAGTCAGATAAACCGTCTGACTTCACTGCTCCAGGAATAGCATCTTTCCATTGTTTCATTCTCTGGGAATGATGTTAGAGTCCAACCTAAACTACTATTTTAACTGAACTTTCTCCAAATAAGAACAATGTATGAGCTCTGCTGAGCATTTCTCCTTTTCTAATTCATGTTTCTCTGGTAATGACACAATGACAATTAGAATGCTGTTTTTTCTTTACATTGATTTCACCCGAAATGTTTAATATTCCAGTAAAAAAGACTTTTAACCATGTTTCCTCCAAATACTATTGATTTTATTTTGTATGGACTATAAAATCGTATAGGCACGTGATTAGTACAATACCCGAATTTTCTGTCTTTATCTGCATCTTAAGTTTAGTTTAAATCAGTCATTTATACAGATTGATTAGAATAACAATATTTTACATGTAACGTGACTTTGTGAGACTTGTAGAGGAGGGATGATGTTATTTATGAGATGCTGAAAAGAGGGATGAATGCATAACTCAATGGCATCCTAAGAAAACATTATTTTAAAAGTCTTAGGCAAAATTTTTTGATTATTTATCCAGTGAAAAGAAATTAAGGAGAAATTTTATTTTAATGCAGTAGCTTGAAGACAGGCCCCCTCAAAGACTTAAAAGAGTCATGGAGTGAGCTTAGTCTGCCTGTAACTCCAGTCAGTGAGAAATAGCTGCTTGTGATAGAAGGTTTAATGCATAGTTTAAGAATCGGTCTGTATTTAAGTAGAAGGGTAAATATTTTCCCTAGAATTAACCAAATATATAGTGATATTGAATAATTAAACAACAAAAACCTTTAGACAACATGACACAATCTCTTTCTATGCCTTATTTATTAGCTTCTGATTAAAATACGGCCACACAGGATTTAACAAAGAAAGTCACATTTCCATTAAATGCAACATTGCATTAGTTTATTCTATTTCATTAACATTAACTAGAGAAAGTATTGCCTCTTGGAAAATGTTCCGCTGATTGATGTAGCCATCTCGCCATTCTCTTCTGTTGTTTTAAAACCATCTTCTCCCTTCTTCTCCTCTTTATCTAAGCTTTTTGCCAGTGGCTGGTTTTTCTTCTAAACCGACAACTTGGACTGTAACTCATTACCCGCCTAAGGGACTTTAATTATACACCTGGAAAAAAAATGTTAATCTAAATAAGTAATTTTTTCTCAAAATAAGTTAAATTGGCAAGGTAAATGAAACACTTTGCTAATGGAACAAGACACTTTATATTTAAGATAATAAAAATTAATTAATTTCTTATTTCAAGTGCATATTATCTAATGATCTCATTTTAAGAGTAATAATACTCATTCCATTGGCAGATCATCTTATTTACTTACTCAAATTAAGGGTAAATACACTTAATATAAGAAATTTTAATGTACAGATATTGTTTTAGTGGGTAAAGAGAAAACCATTTTGTATCCTGGCTCATATTATTGAATCTGTGTCAGAGAAGTGTGTTGATATTGATTATTTGCTTAAAACCATCAAAAGGAACATTTATGATTCATATATATCTTTCTTACTTCTCCTGCTTTTGTTTGTTTTTAGAGGTTTTATACTGATTGATCGCAGGTTCCTGAGCAAAATATTTAGAGGAAATTAGGATCAGCATTATTTTTTTGAAGTTAAACCTTCTTTTTCTTGACAGACCTCAGTTTAAAATGTGTATAGTTTGCATATTATGCATGTATAATGCATGAGACAATTGTGAGCTTCAACAAAAGCATTGCTGTTTGGCAGCTGAGGCTAAAGGCATCAACATTTTAAAGTGTGCTGTGCAGTAGAGAATGACTAAGCTGATTATAGCTCGCATATATCCCCTGCAGTGCTCAGTTTCAGAGGTCTGAAAAACATCCATATTAGAACTGATCCTAAATATAATAAGGCATAAGAGTAAAAGGAATACGATGGCGGAACCATAATTTAATCCAGTTATATAAAGTGATTTTTTTTTTATAAAACGTGTTGAATGCCTGCTACATAATAGTGAACTGCAATATAAACCTAGACATTAAAAACGGTTTGCATTTTTTTGTTCATTTATTTTCATGATTTTTTATTAAACTTTATCAAACTGCTTCTTTACATTGTTTATAAAAGCAATTTGTGTCTGAACTCAAACAATTTATTTATTTTAAACAAACTGTTTTGATATGAACTATTTTTCCCTGACTCTAAACAACACTTAATTTGACCAAATACTAAGAAAACTCAAATATAGCTTATATTGAAATGTGTCTTTTTATTCCAGTTGTTTGTACTTTCAGTGTTTGGAATTAAAAAAGATGGGCTCTCTTGTCACATCCCCTGATGATTTAAGTGAGGGGCTGTAGGAAAAGCCTTGGCAGATTTCTTTAGATGAGATGCTGCATGTTGTTGACTAAAACAATTGTGCTTTCAGAACATGCTGTTTGAGATCGAGCAGAAGGTTTCCTACCTCTCAGAGCTGTCCGTCCACAGTGAAAGCTTGCTCTTGGAGGGTCGTGCCGAAACTAAGGAAGAGGCGGAGCAGCTGACCCTCAAACTGCGCTCCCTCAAAGATAGCTTGATGGAGCTGCAGCAGATGCTGCAGGACAAACAGGTGGACATCCAGGTGAGATCATTAGTTGTATGTTCTACTTGACCTGCTTTCCTACTCCTACTTTGGCTTTTTCCTTGTGCTCAGCTGCCTTTCAATGAGCTGGGTCACACGGTCAATGGTTGCATTGTGCAAAATGCTCCAAAGGTCATTCATTCTTCTCATACAAGTCCACTGTTTCCCTCAATGGAACAACAGTTGCTTGTGTTTCATAGTGTGCCTTAAACAGTACTATGCTAACTCATAACGTGCAAACACCAAATGCAAACCATCAAGTCTGTTTTCTTTGGGGAAACACCTTTGTTTTAGTCCTGCATTTAGAAACCCTCCATAAAAAAATTCTAATCAGCAAATTACAACCATAAATAACCAAGACTATTTTGAAGTGTTATTCCTGGTTTTACTTGGTAAATATTTTCATAAAATATTTTTTTTCAAATGTGCTAGGGGTATTTCTTCCCAGCACTATAACAATTTTCACAATTGGAGTCTGATTTTATGAAACCAATTTACCCTGAGATACCCCCCTCCCTGTCCTAGGGATCTCTACAGGAGCAGGAGGACAGTGAGCCGGACTCGTCTCTATCCCAGAGTCCAAATGTCCAGGACTGGTTGTCTCAGGCCCGCTCAACACGCTCTCAGCAACACAACGACAACCTACAGAGACAGAGGGTAAAAGCAATACCGATCAAAGCTGCTATCTTTGAAACTTCCAGAGAATCAATTTGATTCTAGAAACAAAATTAAACTTTGAACTTATCTGATATTTCTCAGGAGCTGCAGGAGCAAGTGGAAAAACAGAGGAAGCTGCTGCAGTCTGTAGCCAGCGTTGGGGAGGAGTTACTCAATCAACATGGGACATGTAATGGAGACAGGTGCTTTGATTAATTACGTACATATTCCTTGGTAAACATGTGTAAAAAAAAAAAAAAAAACATTTCCCAAACTTTTTGCACTTGGTAAAAACCTTTCTGTAGTGAGGAGTCTGTGCCTGGTGGAGTGCTGCTGGAGACGGAAACCTTGTCTCCGCTGGACCAACTGAGGCAAAGATGGGAAAACCTCAATAAAGATCAGAGCACAAAGCTCCAGCTCTCCCTCAGCTCCCTGGAACAGGACCAACTCAGTCCGGTATGCATGTCAGGCACCGTGGCTTTTCTAACTTTGATGATATTTTGAAAATGTAACTTGTTTTTGAAAAGGCAATGGATTGTTTAAAATTTGTGCATCTGTGTCCAGGTCCTTCACCGGTCCCGTCTGTCCAGTCCAAATGTAGTTTTCAGGAGTGAGGCTCCCGCCCAAGACCCTGGGTCTCCTAGATCATTGTTTGAAGCCTGCTGTAGAAATCTGGAAAGAATCAGAGAGGAGGTACTGTAACCCTCTTATATTTCTATGTTTTTCTTTTTCTACTTTAGATCTCTGTGGATAATTTCTCTCTACAAAAAAAAAAAGAAATAAGCCGCTCCTAAAGTACATCCCCATCTTTATTTTCCACTACAGGCAGCGGGCAGTGAGAGTAAACTGGCAGCATCATTTGGAACGGAAAGAGTGCAACAGGATCTGTTTGCTGCAGTATCAGCGGCCTCCTCCTGGTTGGATTCAGCAGAGAATCAAATGCTCTCTGGTCCCGTCCTGCTGTCTGAGGATACAGAGTCTCAACTTACCAACCTTGAGGTAGATAGAAAAAAAAATACGTGCAGCCAGACAACATTTAATGTCCTACATGAATGTCTTAATCTGCACACCAGAATGCAATAAAATGACATCCCGAAAACTGATGTTTTTTTGTTTTTTATTTCTGTTCAGGCTCTGAGTAAGCAGCTAAAGGAGATAACAAGAGAGGTGAACGTGTGCAGAGATCTGCTGGGCTTAGGAACAGGCCGGCTGTGTGGAGGAGAAGAGCAGGCCCTGATGGAGGACACGCTGGAAGGCTTACAGGAGAGAATGGGCCTCCTGCACTCTGCTTTAGAACAACATTGTGAAAACATGAGAGACACCCTGCAGGAACACTCTGCTTTCCAGGTCTCTAGCACCGCAACACTGCATGGCATCTCTTATTTGCATTGCTAATATTTAACACATTTTCTGTTTTGTGTTTTTCAGAATGAGCTAAGGATGCTGTTCACAGGCCTGACTGAAAGCAAACATCAGTTACTTCAAAAGATGGCTGGAACAACAGACCGTCCTGCATCCAAACAGTTAGAGGTACTTTCCAATCAGATCTACTGTGGGGTGTTGGAAAAAAGCAGCACGCTTTTATGAAAATCTATCCAATTAACGTTTTGTGTCCCTTGCAGGCATTGTCTGAGGTGGAGGAGAGCCTCAGAGAGCTTGAACAAAAGGTGACGGAGCTGAGAGTCAGAGCAGAGGGACTCCGACCAGACCAAACCTCCAACCAGGAGCTCCTGAAACTACAAGTAAGGACTTTATTCTACTTATTTTTATTTTGTTTACCACAGGTTTCCACCTGGAATTAACCTGTTTTATGTTTCAAGGATGCCTATGAGGAGCTGGTGCTCCTGGTGGGCTCCAGGCGGAGCAGCCTGAACCACAGCTTGTCTCTGAAGGCCCAGTATGAGGCTGCTCTTCGTGATCTCACCGACCTGATCGACACTGCTCAGGACAAGATGGCTGCTGACCAGAAGATGACCGTCGTTTCTGTCATTGAGGTCCAGATGCTGCTCGACAAACACAAAGTAAGAAAAGAAAAACATTTTAAATTCTAAAGTTCTCCTTATTAGTATATTTTTTTTATAAAAAGACCTTTAAAACGTGTTTTTTTTCAATAGGAGTTTTTTCAGGGACTGGAATGTCATATGATCCTCACCCAGACGTTCTATGCAAAAGTGTCCAGTCTGGTTGCACACAGGGAGAGCCAAGTGCTGGAGGAGACCATGGCTTTAGCTCACAATGTGTTAAAACAAGCCCACAGGAGGGGAGTGGAGCTAGAGGGCATTTTAGAGGTGAGAGTCATTGCATGTTTTTAGAAGCTGGGCAGTGAGGATACCACACAGGTGTGTGATTGTAAAGGGGAAAAAAAGAAAAAAAACATCATCCTACTTTTTTCTCCCATCTCTACATCAGTCCTGGAGCAGCCTCATGCAAGATTACCAGGGTCTGTGCAGACAGCTGGATGCTGTAGAGTCTAGCATCCCAGCTGTGGGTCTTGTTGAGGAGACAGAGGAGAGACTTCATGAGAGAATCGGTCTCTATCAGGTAGGTTTGTTTATGCACTTTCAGAACAGTGTCTGCAGCCTGCATCTGACTGTTTAACTGACCTCCTGAGTCCTTTATAGCGCCTTAAAGCGAGCCTCACAGAACATCAGCCCCAGCTGTACCAGGTTCTGGAGGAGGGGAAGAGGCTCCTTCTGTCGGTCAGCTGCTCTGACTTGGAGAACCAGCTCACACAGCTGGGAGAACACTGGCTCTCCTCCACTACTAAAGTTAACAAAGAACTGCATCGCCTCGACTCCACGCTCAAACACTGGAGCAGGTCTGGACCTGTTATCATACTATTTTAGAATTCTTTAGTTTTAAAGTAAAGCTGTTTATAGTGGCTTGGAAAAGTATTCATATCTGTTGAGCCTGTTTTTCACATTTCAACACAAACATCATAGATTTTTTAACTCAGTTTTTATGTTGCAGAGAAACAAAAGAAAAAAACTCGGTGTGGCATGCATTTGTGTTCACCATTATTTCTTTATCATCACCTGGCCAACACATCTGCGAACGATTTTGTTGTCATCTGTTATCAGACATGATTTATTTGTTCAAAAGAATAAAAAAGTTGTATATTTAAAATATAGACACTATTAACTTTGTGAAAACATCTGCTATCTGTTCATTATTTTTAATCTGGTTGGATTCTTAGCATCTCATCCATAATTTATAACAGAAACCTATGCACTCAGCCACACTAACAACCCACCTCCATCCAATAAACAGTGGATTCTTTTAGCTTTTTACCTGAAGGATGGATTAAAGAATCCTAGGAAAAAGATGTCCACAGCATGATGCTGCCACCACTGTGTTTAATGTACAGAACAGTGAAGAAACAAATGCAAGAGGATTAGGAGATGTCATAAACATCATAACATAACATAAACATCACATGTCCAAAATAAAATGATTATGATTGTAAAACAACCAAAAGTTCAAGGGGTACAAATAAGCCTGATGAGTGTTTCCTTCAATTTTTTCTTTGTTTGTTTGTACATTAAAGGTATCAGAGGGAATCAGCAGAGCTGAGGCACTGGCTACAATCTGCCCTCGACAGGCTGGAGTTCTGGACAACCCAGTCAGTGACGGTACCTCAGGAGTTGGAGACTGTTAGAGACCATCTCTGTGCCTTCCTGGTCAGTTAGGTTCCCACATCACAACCGAAAACATCTGTCCCTCTACCAAACGTTTAGACAAATCTGGCTGAAATCCATTTTGGTTGTTTGTAAACTCTTGTAGGAGTTTTCCAAAGAGGTGGATGCTAAATCCTCACTACGTTCGTCTGTGTTGAGCACCGGCAACCAGCTTATGCGACTGAAAAGAGTGGACACTGCTGGTCTGAGGACAGCGATGGGCCAAGTTGACACTCAGTGGGCCGAGCTGCTCACTCATATCCCCGTAGTGCAAGAGAAGCTCCATCAGGTCTGAGCATAGTTATATTTCAGTGGACGGATTTTATTTCTAGTGTGATTCCAAGTTTCCTGCTCTGTGTCTTTGTTTTTTGCATTCCTATCAACTCTGTCTTCTTATGCGTCTTAGTTGCAAATGGAGAAGCTTGCATCAAGACATGCTATCACAGAGCTGATGAGCTGGATTACCCTGATGGAGACTATCATAGATGAAGATCAGGATAAGATCATAGGGGCTGTAGGCTCAGATGTGGTCAAGAACTTCTTGCAGAAGTACAAGGTAAATAACTGCTTTTATACCTACTTCAGTTCATCCAGTTCTTTTTATTTTAATCTCATGATGTCTCTTAATCTTGCAGGGTTTCCGCATAGATCTGACCTGTAAGCAGTTGACTGTTGACTTTGTAAACCAGTCGGTGCTGCAGATCAGCAGTCAGGACGTGGAAGGAAAGCGGAGTGACAAAACGGACTTTGCTGAGAAGTTGGGAGCTATGAACAGAAGATGGCAGATACTGCAGGGGCTCATTGCTGAAAAGGTACAGTAATGTTCATCTATAGGAAGATTATTCTGCTCTGGATCTAATATCTCATATATAGGTTTTAAAATGTGGTTTGGATTGTATTTTAGATTCAGATATTGGAAGGACTATTGGAAAGTTGGCTAGAGCATGAAAATGGCGTTCAGGCTTTGAAAACCTGGCTCACGCTTCAGGAGGAGAAGTTAAAGAAGAAACACAGGATAGAGGATGTTGCATCAGTGCAGAATGCACTCAAAGACTGTCAGGTTGGTGCACTGAGCTCCTATTGCACCAGACGAAATGTATTTTAAAAAAAGGTTTGAAGGTTGTTTAAAGAGCTGATTATTGTTACAGGAGTGGGAGCAGCTAGTGAAAGAAAAAGAAAAGGATCTAGAAAGGGCAGAGGAAAGAGGAAACATTCTCATTAAGGATAAGAAAGGAGATGCCTGTTCTGTTGTCAAGGAAACCCTTAAAGGGCTGCACCAGTCCTGGGCTAATGTGGACCAAAAGGTAAGCTTCTTTTTTTATATCCTGTTGTCTCATTAAGCAGTTTCATAACATTTCCAACGTCTCTTTAAACCCTTTACTGTTTCCTCATAAGGTTGGTCAGATAAAGGTGAATTTGCGGTCGGTTTTGGAGCAGTGGATTCTGTACCAGCGAGCTTCAGAGGAGATTAATGGTTACCTGATGGAGGGGAGATATTCTGTGTCCAGGCTGCACCTCCTTAAAGGGTCTCTAGAGGCGGTGCAGCAGCAGGTGGAAAGTCTGGAGGTAAGGACGACGGACGATAAAAATGAAAAAGTGAAATATCCCAGTTACAAATCTTTTTTTTTTTCATGCATACATCACAGAACCTGCAGGAAGATATGGATAAACAGGAGAGCAGTTTCAGAAAGTTTGGATCCATTACACACCAGCTGCTGAAAGAGAGTCACCCATCTGTAGCTGAAACGCTCAACAGAGCACTCCAGGAAGTTAATGCCAGGTAATAATAAAAAAAAAATCAATCTAGATGTTCTTATACCAAAGCCATATTTTGACCTCGTCTCCTCTACTGTCTGTTTAAGGTGGAATCATCTCCTTGAGCAGATCTCAGAGCAGCTGAGGGGCAGTAAGTCCTTGCTGGGACTGTGGCAACGCCACAGGTTGTTGTACAGCCAGTGTGTGAAAGCAGTTCAGAAGCAGGAGGAACGTGCAGATCGTCTGCTAAGGAGCGCCTCTGACAGGGAAATCACAGAGGAGGAGAGCAGCACCTGGATAAAAGGTTGCGACGTAAGTCAAACAAGAAGAAGACACTGCTGTTTACCTAGCTGGTAAAAAAAGGTTTTAGCTGTGCATTAACCTTAGTTTAACCTCTAAGCTTCTTTGCAGAACTTTAGTCAATTATGGTTAAACATCAAACACGGTTAGGCTTTAAAACAATATCTTAAGCTGTAAAATCTCACAGAGATATGACTAATAAAAAAATAGGCAAATTGTATGCAAACTGAAGCCAAAACTGACGCCTCCGCACCTACAATGACAGCTCTGTCAAGGTGAGCATTCATCAAATAACATTGAAGGTCAACCTGAACACGGCTTTCCCAGCGTAAAACATGACGGTGGCAGCATAGTGCTGTGGGGATGGCTTTCTTCAGCAGAGAAAGGGAAGCTGAAGGGAAATCTGGAAGAAAAAACTGATAGAAGCTGCAAAAGACTTAAAAACTGCTCAATGTTTACATCCAAGCAGAAGAGCTAATCTAAACGTACGACCAGTCATTGTTTTAGAGTTTTCCCAAAAGTACAGTGTATGATTAAGGGAGAGTTGAACACAAACCATATGCAAGATTTGTAAAAATATTGTTTATAGCAAAAAAAAAAAAAAGTAAAAACGAGGCATCAGTTCCTTTCCTCATTATAACTCATTGTTGGCATGTCATATAAAATACTAACTGATTTTTTTTTGCTTTAATCTGAAAATATGAATAAATTTAGGGTTTATGAACATTTGCTTAACAGTGTTTGAGTTGGACATTTTTTCCTCCTCTGTCCCTCCTCTGCTAAGAATCAGGATGAGGCTCCTAAAAATCTTTTCAGCTCACTGAGAGTCTGCACAAAGCCTTTATGCCTGCAAATGAAAGCTAAATTATAGCCTATTCCTCTGCCTTGTTTGAATGTAAACTCCCGGCCCAATCAGCACAAAAGCCCCTTTACACTGAGGCTACAAAGAGAAAGACAAGCCTGTGATTTACACTACAGGGATCCCACAGCGTCATGCTGGGCGTGTCTGAGCGTCATGTCACAGTCTTAATTGTCTGAAAGAGGATCACTGACGCAGACCGTTGCTAGACAAAGTAGCAAAGAATTTAATGCTGCTGTTTAAAGCTTTTCCAAAAGCCAACCAAAAAAAAAAGCATTTTAATGCCATACTTAAATTCAAATTTTTGGGATCTGAGAGGGTTTTCCCACCTAACACCTCGCCACTCCCCCCCCTCTTCTATTTTATTGCAGGATTGCCTGAATGACCAAAACTCAGTACAGCAGTTGCTTGAACAGCTGCAGGCATTAGAGGAGCAGCTGAAGAGCCAAGTCGACGCCTCCTCCTCTGCATCCCTCAGATCTGACCATCTGCAGCTCTCTCACCGCCTGGCAGTGCTGGAGCACGCCCTGCACAGGCAACAAGAAGTACTGCAGGTGGGTTAGCTGAGATCAGGGGCGTTTCCTGGACCTGGGAACATTGGGGGGCTGAGCCCACATCCTAGGAGGGGGATCTCTAGGAATTTAACTGGGAAAAGTGACTTTTTATTGAAGCCTTCTTGTTTGAAGCTAAATATAGTATAGTATAATATAGTTAAATAATGCAATATGTAATATGTCATTATGTATAAACATCTACATAATTAGACTTAACCTGTAAATATCAGATCAAGAGATTGCAGATTGTTGTCTTACATCCTGCATGCATTTCAAACACCCTGCATGTATCTCAAATTTAGACTAATATAACCAGCTTATTAAAGCAAAATTATACTTTTTTTATTTTGAGTGTCTAGTTTCTCTACTTCTATTATTCAAGAAAAAGAATAAATAATATAATTATTCAGGGCTAACTACTGTAATATAATTTTTTTTTTCCAATTTTAGCTATTTTGAGGCTAATGCAAAACCTGCAGAGGTCTTTGTTTAAAGAAACATATAGAAAATAAAATTGATAAACAAAAGATAAAGTTTCATGTTAAACCAGTTCCACCCATTACATGCACTTGAGTTGTTTTAATCATTCCATGATTACAATCCTGTCTTACAATGCCATGGCAATCGTGAACTTTATCTAAAAAAAAATCCCTAATCATTTTTATGACAATACAGGAAACCAACATTCTAATTCAATGGAACAAAAAGAGGGATTACAATTTAGAAATATTCAGAAATTTTCCAAGATCTATGTGGTTTTTCATTCTTTTTATACCAAGAACCAGTAAGATAAAGAAATTTTAATTTTGTATATAATATAGGGATTTCTGTGGAATTTGGTAAAAAATTAAATAAAATCCTGGAGCCTGACAAAACATTCTGCAGATGCTTTTTTTTTTTTTTTTTGATCCACATATAGTTTATGTGACGAGCAAGAGAGAGAGATAGCATCATGATTTATTGGCTTTTAGCACTGATACCATGTAGAGTTGTCACAGAAGAAAGTTGCCACATTAAAGAAAGAAGAAAGATAATCATTGTTATGTCAAGGTGGGTAGCGGTAAACAGAAAGAACCACTCAGCGTTGCTATCTGTCCTTAGCTCTATGCCCGCATCTACTCAAACTCCTCTTTGATTGCTCATACCACACCGTCATGCCTGTGTCGCATTCACCAAAGCTGGAAACATATTAACATTTAATATCTTAGGGCGGCTCAGTCAATTCCTTATTTCTCCCAAAAAAAATCCGGAGTTTGATGAGAATCATTTGGGGCTGTAGCCGGTAATGTCCAGGCCAGGCCAGGGATTCTCTGGAGTTTATTGCCTCCTATGGGTGGGGTTAGAAAGTTTCATTCTTGTTATTATCTGTTCTCAGTGTGAATCCCAAGCCTGCGAGGGTTTCCGAGAGCAGCTGGAGGCATTGATATGTAAGGCGAAAGAGGCGGAGGAGGTGCTAAAGGAGTCTGACCCAGTCGGTACCCCAGACCTCACTGTGGTGCAGACGTCCTTAGAAAAACTCAAGGTACAATCGCTACTTATGACTAAACTGCAATTAGAGTTCATCTTTAATCTTATCACTTTTTTATTTAATTTTTTTACTACATTTTTTGCACTTTTTGTAGGAAAACCTCCTGAAGCTGAGCAGTCTATCTCCAGACCTGGAGCGCATAAACGAGTTGGTCTACAGACTACCAGTCAGTGACAAAGATGTTAAACGGCTCCAGAATCTCAACAGAGCTTGGGCTGCTCACTCTGCCCACCTTACAGAAAGGTTCAGGTAATCTAAACATTTGAATACCCCTTTTCTTTCATTTTGGAAACATTGTGATTGTCTTTTTTTGTTTAACCATTTAAGAACTGTTAATCAAGACCATGTTAGAGGTCTCGTTTCTTAGAAATCAACTAAAGATAAATGAGAAGTGGATTAAAATGTTTCCATATTGCTTTGATTCCCCTCAAACTGACAGTGTGTTGAAATAATTTATTCTATATTTTGATCTGTTTGCTTTCGTTTTTATTTGCAGTAAACTTCAGTCAGTGTTGCTGCAGCAGCAGAGTTTCCTCCAAAAATGTGAAGCCTGGATGGATTTCCTCTCTCAGACTGAGACGAAGCTGGCTGCAGAGATATCAGGCAACTACCAGAGTCTGCTGGAGCAACAAAGAGACCATGAGGTTAGACCCCTGTCATCAGTTTGTGCCTTTTAGATAATTTATTACGGTCACCAGATGTCCCAGATTTCCTGGGACAGTCCCTGTTTTAGGACCATCTGTCCCCGACTGAAGCTGTCCCAGATTTTCCTGTTTTATGAATGAATTGCTCTGCTGTACAGGTAAAGAGGAACAGAGCAAATCACTTTAGTACAGTGGATGTTTGTTAATCTATTAATTGTATTTGGATCGGGCTGATCATTGTGATACAGTTTTGGTTTAAGCTCAGGTTTAAAAAAAAAGGGCTTTGATGTGATTTGTTTTACTGAAGATGAAGAATCAACATGAAACATAAACCAACCTAATAGTCAAAAACTAAAGACCACGGGCTGCAGCTGGCATCAGTAAAAGAGACTCAGATCAAATGCAGCAGAATGTAAGGCACTAATCTAGTATGATGGTTCTTCAGGTATCAACAAGGGTTTATCTAAAGATGTTTTAGAATGTATTGGTGACCTTTAGTTTATATTTTGAGATAGTATTAGTTATTAGAAGTAGAGTTTTTATAAGTTGTTTAGCTAATTTATGGTTATGCTTAATGAGCATCGACTTCCAGGCCTAGGTTTTCTTTCCTACCACTCAATTTGGATAAATAAAAATTGCTCATGAAAATTAGGAAATGGAAAATCCGAATAAGATAAGATCTGCATGATCTGAGAATGATGGAAGAAGAGATACCAATCTATTTAATGTTCATTTATTGTGATGTTTTTGCTTGTAGCTCCAAATATTGTGGTAATTAGCAGGGTTGACCGCTACTTGGTTTTAATCCATAACACAGGAAAACCTCATTCTGATAGGTATGTAGATGTGAACAGAATTTGCTGCATTCTTTTGAAGAGGTGGGGGAACTCTGTCTCCACAGACTGGTACAGGCAAAGGCTGATTGTTGGATATATGTTTGAATTCTTCTGTTTTTTCTTTGCGAGATCTCGCAAAAGTTTATTTTTTCCATCCATGTCCCTTTAGGGGCTCCGTAGGATTGCATACTGACCTTGTCTCTCTTCATTCGTGTAATGTCGTGTTTTGGGACCTCTCTAGAAATTAAGAACCTCTCCAAATCATCCTCCATGGTTGTAGCTGACACATGGGCATATTATCCTCCCATAGCAGTACACTTTGCACCTCCACTGTTGTGTGTTTGTTTTACTTCCAGTTCGCTGACATGGCAAAAGCTTATTTTTTGCGAGATCCCGCAAAAGTATTGTGGGATCTCGCAAAGTTTATTTTTTCCTCCATGTCCCTTTAGGGGCTCCGTAGATAGGCACATTCCTGGCTTTTACACTTATTTTGTGTTGTTTAAATATAAAAAATTCTATAAAAAATAAATTAAACCATTAATTTCCCATTTTCCTAATTCCATCTTGATGAGATGGATTTCAGTTCATCTATGAGCTGGAAATGTCCCAGATATGATTTAAAAAATCTGGTCACCTTATCACTTATGCCTCTGCAAAAACCCCAAATGTAATAACCAAACACAAAGTTTTGCATTACTTATTATTTTTATTCCTATTAAATCTCTTTGATTCATTATCACCTGTATCTATAATTAAAGTGCGGGGATGGCTTTACTGTGATGTTTAGCTTAAGTTAAGCAAGAAGGTTGAAAACCATAAAATTCAAGTAAAATTCATAAAAGTTTAATTGGTAACCTGACAGAAATTTCAAATGCTCATGGTATGTAAATACCTTTTAATTGTGTCAACTGTTTGCAGTGTTTTTATGACCTTCTTAATCTGACAGCTGTTCCAGGCAGAGATGTTCAGCAGACAGCAGATTCTTTACTCCATCATCAGCGATGGCCATCGGCTGTTGGATCTGGGTCAAGTGGATGACAGGTTAACTCCACAAACACTCCATCCCAAAAGATTCCTTTATTACCTTGTAAGGAATCCACTTTATTTATTATATTATTGTTTTCACTCCTGTTTCTACAACAGTGATGACTTCAGTGTTAAGCTGGCTCTGCTGAGCAATCAGTGGCAGTGTGTGGTGAGGCGTGCTCAGCAGCGGAGGGGCATCATCGACAGCCTGGTGCGGCAGTGGCAGAACTACCAGGAGATGTCAGAGAAGCTGCGACGATGGCTGCAGGAAGTGACCCGCGATCCGGACGTACTTCAGCCGGGAGAGCCGGTGGCACTGCAGGAGGCCCGAAGCCTGCTGGGTCAGATACAGGTAAGTCAATTAACAGCTCTTAGACTTCGTCTTCTAAAGTTACGCTACTTTTATTTAATCTCCAGACAAAAAAATGCCAATCAGGTCTAAACCCTGTAGCCCCAAACCATCTTGTCTCTGGCTCCATCCCTCCAGCTCAGGGAGCGTGTGCTTCAGAGGCAGCAGGGAGTCTACATCCTGATGGTGGAGGCCGGCAGGAGCCTTCTGCTGTCGGCTGACGCCAGGGCAGAGTCTACTCTGCAGACGGAGCTCATGGAGATTCAGGACAGATGGAGACATGCCCACCACCGCCTGGACCAGCAGAAGAGGGAGCTGCATGGCTTGCTGAAGGTCTGGATCCAGAAAATTAAAACCGTAACGCTTCATTCTGTTTGATGCTACAATTTCATTGTAAAATATGTTATAAGTTCTTAGCTGTGACTCCAACAAGTTCATTCGGTGTGGCGCTGCAATGACACCTAAGCCTACCTGTATTTCTAAGGGGCACCTCATTCATGTGGCTCTTAAAGTTTATTTCTACTTTATCCACACATACCTGTTCTGATGCGTTTCCTTTTAGATTTCCCGGTTGTTTTTAAACAATCTAAATGTGGATTTCGATCAAAAATTCATGAATTACAGGTTGCTCTATTTTAATACTCGGTCCACTTTATCCACTAGCACCATCCAGTGAAACAATCCCTTATCACGCTGCTCCCCTCTATCTGACAGTTGTTGGTTTCCTCAAACAGTGATTTTTTTTGTATTGTGGTCAAATCTCCTAGTATTGCTGTTTTAATGTTAAACTCACATTGTGGGCGATGGGGACAGTGGTGTCCAGCATCTTCCTGTCATCTGAGAGTAAAATTCTGTCTAGTTGAAGCACTATTTTTTTCAGGGTGTCACCCATCTGTCTCAATCATCCCAAACATAATTAAAAACATTTTTTTTGATTTTGGAACAAATAGATAGGTGGTTATCTGCAAATTGTTGTAATGGCTCCAATGTCAAACTGTAACAATACTGATAACAGCAGAGGTCAAATATGCTGCAAGAAGTATCACAGTAACTTCTTGATGGCCAGAGGTTGATAGAGTACCCAAAAAAAAAGACCTAATTCAAAATATTTCTACATAAGTAAAATAAAAAATGATAGACCCAGTAAATTCTACAATTTAGAGTAAAAAGTACTTGGTAAAAGGGTTGAGTACATTTTATATTGTTTAAATGAAGTAAATGAGACAGGCCATGTTATTAGGTTGTTAGCAAATTGTTTCACAGACTAAGAGGGTAATGAACAAACTAAGAAATGTAAAAACAAATTCACACAAATGAAACCCTTTTCAAATCCTTTTTTCTTACATGTAACATATGCTGTGAAACCATTTCTAAAGGTATATAAAGTATGCATGTGCATAACAATATATACTTTTTTACTGTACATTACCTGGACCTCCATGTCTTAGCAGATAATTTAATTCAGTTTATTTCTATAGCGCCAATTCACAACAAATGTCATCTCAAGGAACTGTTCACCAGTTCATACATTCAAATTGATTCAAGGTTTTCTATCTAAGGAAAACAAGTTGATTGAATCGACTCATTGACTCAAATGCAATCCACTAAGCATGCTTGAAGCGACAGTGGAGAGGAAAAACTCCCTTTTAACAGGAAGAAACCTCCAGCAGAATCAGGCTCATTGTGAGCGGCCATCTGCCGATAAAAGTAAGATTCAAACAACAAAAAGAATTGTTATTTTAGTGAAGCTTAAACTGTCTGCCTGTGTCTATTGTATTTTAGGTTTAACTGTGCTTCTTTTTTCAGTAAAGTTCCTCACATTTGGTAGCTTCATGGTCTTTTACTTAAGTGAAATTAAAGAGTATGAGTAGGTTAACTAATCAAATCTAAATGTAGTAGGCGGGTATATGTAAATAGTTAGTATTCACCTCTTTTGATAGCTTAAAAATGGTGTTTATTTGCACATTTTCAAACCAAATACCAGTGATTGAATCTGTAGTAGCAACCTGAGCCTGTATCCATAGTTTTGTTGCTTTGTCCAGGAGATAAAAACCATAAATAAATTCCACATCTTGTTTGTCCTTATTAAACCATAAGAATCTCAAATTGATCAAAACCATGCCAACGACGAGTGCATGCAGACATCTAATGGGAGCCATCTAATAATATACTGATCTCTATTCTTGCTTCTTTCTAACTGTGACTGCTGTTTCAGGTGATTCTGAGATGTTTCATTCCACAATAGACCAGGATCCATCTTTAGAAATAACTACAGGCTAATCTACTAAGAGCACAACCGCCTTCTTTTTTTAACGCTTTTAATTCCTCACTTATTTTGTCTTAATAGTTTTGCGTCATTCTTTTAAAGATGTTGTCTGCTCTCAGTGTAATTTGCTTATGCTGCTGATAAAGACACAGGTATAATTCTCTGAAGGCTCTGTAGCGTGTGTGGATGCGGGTTTTCAGCTCTGATTCTTGCAGCTTGTGTTTGTGCAGAACTGGGAGCGGTGTGAAAAGGGCATTGACGTCTCTTTGGAGAAGCTCCGGGCCTTTAAGAGAAAGCTGTCCGTGCCGCTGCCGGAGCATCATGAGGAGCTTCACTCTGAGCAAATGAGGTGCAAGGTGAGATGACATCTTTTATGCTTCTTTTTTTAACTATTTTTATTTGCATCATCTTCTTTTTTATTGTTGTATCACTAAGCAATGTGTTGGTCTCTTTTACACGTATATTCTCAGACTCAGACATGCCCTTGCTTTACCTCTTTAATCCCGCAGCCAGGGCAAACAGATAAACAGACGGGCAGAAAAACAAATTCATTCGTCTGCTTTATATCATGTGACCTTGCATGTATTTACTGTTTTGCCTTTATTTTAATTTGACACCTTGCATTTTATTCCTTAATACATTTTTTAAACGATACTTGACTTTTCTGTAACTGCATCTATAAATATTAGATAAATAAGCTTTTTTTTTTATCTGCTCTTGCAGAATAGATAATTTTTCAATAAAAAAAAATTAAATTATGGTAATTATTTAGATCTTGTTCAGTCAGTGGATGCTGTATGCAGTCATATGTGATGCATGGCACGTCCTTAGCTCCTCAGGGAAGGAGGAGGAGGAATATGTGTGCAGCGGCACATAGCATCAGCTGAGGAGAAAAAAGGAGAGGGGGCGGGGAGATTGCGTGAGCAGGAGAGGGAAAGAAAGAGAGCGCATCCTTGGTTCTGTGGGGGTGAATGTGCGCGTGTGTGCTTCCTTTTTGTTGCGTAATGGAGACGTTCTCTGGGTCCACAAATGATTACAGCACAGCAGAACCGTCAGAGTGACGATGGGGGAGGAGGACATGCAAGGTTAGAAAGCTGTTACCGTGTCCTGCTTTTATACTTCAGTGCAGAGATTTTATTTGAACCGGAGGTTATAGATGCTGCTGAGCTAAAATCAAATTTCCTGCTCAATTTGCTGTTTTGGGGTTCATCACACGTTCTGGTTAACCAACCATTTGGAGTCTTTGGCCTGGGGGGATTCTCTGTGCTGATGATGAATGAAACACATTAGTAGGCGTCTAACAACGTGACGTCTTGCTTGTCTGTATTCCTGCCATGGATTCAGGAGTTGAAGAGCAGTGTGGAGGGATGGACCGATGACCTTACTTCCTTGTTCAAGCTAAGGGATTCCTTGGAGGGTTTGCTCAGCGCAGATGATGTCACAGTCTTACAGGAACGCCTGCAGCTGCTGCAGCGCCAGTGGGAGGAGGTTTGCCACCAGGTAAATGCACACACAAAATAATAGGCCTGCAATATATTTTGTGCTGCAGGATGTAAAAGTTTTTAAATAAAATATATTTTAAAGCCAAACCAAAAGAATATATCTTGAGTACCATTCAAAATAAATGACAAACTGAGGGGTGAAACAGTTAAAGGTCATCTCAAAGCTCAGAAGCCCTAATTGCAAAAGCAAAAACTGCCTTAAAGTATAGAACTTTATGTCTAACTTTGTATTACCGTAATCATATATTATAGGAAATAACCAACAGGAGTTGTTCATAAAATTTAAAATAGTTTAATCAATGTGGTTATATTTACAGAGTTGTTGCTAATCACTTATAACTTTATCAGTATAGTATCAGTTTTGCATTGGAAGGGAAGGCATTCTTTGCATGGATTAAGTCTCTGTATTAGCCATGGATGGATTCATGCAGTATGATGATAAAAGTATTGTTTAAAGGAAGAATACATTATTTTTAAGAGAACCTAATTTTTTTAATATGAAAAACAACCTCCTGTGAGTTTACATGTTTTGCGTACCAGAAATTACCCTTTCAGACTTGCTGTTATTTGTACTATATTTAGTTTTAGTTATTTTCTTTTAGGAAATATGTGATGGATAATTTTCTGATACAGGGGTTGATTAGAAACGGTTTGCAGACATTGTATAAAGCCTATAACAAGCATATTAATGGAAATAGGATGGGTCCTAAGAGTCATCCTTGAGGAACTCCACAATTAACTGTTTAATTAAACAATTAAAGTAACCACTCTCTCTATATTTCCTGTCTACCTACATGGTCTGCAGGTCGGGTGTAGAGAGATTTGAGCCATCTGTGATTGACACTCAAGATCTATGATGAAATGTTTTTAAGTTCCTCTTTCCTGTAACTGCTTACGTAAATCTAAGATTTCTTTTATTTTGAGTCACTTTTCCACACACATCAAGACATATAGCAAAGAAAAATTTTTCTTTTTCAACAGTTAGCGCTACAGATAGCTTTCATATCTTCTCCCCCTAAAAGCCTTGCTCATAAGACTTTCCTTCTGATGCTCATTAAAATCAAAGCAATTGCATAAGGTTTGTTAAGAGATCAACACTGAATCCAAAACAATATCTGAGTAATAGTCTGACGCTAATAAACATCTGAAAGCAGCTACGTGAAGCAACCGATGAACTGTTTTGATGTGAAATTATGAAAATAATGTAGAGTGTTTAAATACTTCTTTCTCGGTACCATGTGCAGATTCTCATGCAAACCACTCCTTATTCGAAATAGACTGTGATAACAGCTGTTTGCAGGCACAGAGATCAGCTGTCCTGACGTAACTACATTCATTCTTAACACTACAGGCGTCACAGGACCCAGCCAGGTCACTGGAAGCTTTGTTTTCACTAGAATGTGGTATCTAGTTAACTAACACTGTTTTTAGTATTAAAATTCACTCTATCGTGTCTGTTTCTATTATTTAAATGTTCAATAAGAAAAACCCAAATCTTCTTCAGTGAGGAAAATAAGCATTTGAACATTTTTTAATTTCTCCCCCTTACATAGGGTCTGAAATTGTCATCGTAAAAAAAGAATGAAGAAATCACAATGTATGATTTTTAACTATTTGCTTGTATGAAACAGCTGCAAATAAGTATTTGAACACCTGAGAAAATTAATGTTAGTATCTGGTACAGCCATTGTTTTTTGCATTTCTAGAGGTCAAACATTTCCTGTAGTTTTTCACCAGGTTTGCACACACTGCTGGAGGAATTTTGGCCCACTCCTCCACTAAGATCCTCTGTAGGTCAGTCAGGTTTCTGGGTGGTCACTGAGAAACACAGGAGTTTGAGCACCCTCCAAAGATTTTCTATTGGGTTTAGGTCTGGAGACTGACTAGGCAATGCCAGAACCTTGATATTCTTCTTCCAGAGCCACGCCTTGGTTATCCTGGCTGTGTTTTTAGGGTCATTGTCATCTTGGAAAACCCAGCCTTCACCCATCTCCTATGCTCTAACTGAGGGAAGGAGGTTGTTCCCCAAAGTCTGGCAATACATGGCTCCTGTCATCCTTTCCTTATTACAGTGCACTCGCCTTGTCCCATGTGCAGAAAAACACCAAAAGGTTATATTTTGGTTTCATCTGTCCACATGACTTTCTCCCATGACTACTTTGGATTATCCAAATGGTCATTAGCAAAATTAAGACGGGCATTGACATGTGCTGGTTTAAGCAGGGGAATCTTCCGTGCCATGCATGATTTCAAACCATGATGTCTTAGTGTGTTACTAACAGTAACCTTGGAAACGGTGGTCCCAGCTCTTTTCAGGTCATTGACCAGCTCCTCCCGTGTAGTTCTGGGCTGATTTCTTAGCTTTCTTAGGATCATTTCTTAGGTGAGATCTTGCATGGAGCCCCAGTCCGAGGGAGACTTTCCCATACCTCTTTCTTGCCTTGTGGAGGTGAACAATTTTCTCTCTAGTGTCTTTAGACAGCTCTTTGGTCTTGGCCATGTTAGTAGTTGGATAGTTACTGACTAAATGGACAGGTGCCTTTATCCAGCAAACGACTTAAAACAGGTACATCTAATGTAGGATAATAAATGGAGTGGAGGTGGACATTTTGAAGGCAGACTAAGGTCTATGGGGGTCAGAATTCTAGATGATACTTATTTTCAGCTGTATCATAAAAATGGTAAAAAAAAAAAATCACACATGGTGTTTTCTGGATTTATTTGTTTTAAATTATGTCTCTGTGTACAAAAGAACCTTAAGTAGTTTAGGTTTCGATGTTAGGTACTGCTGTTTATATTCTGTAGTTTCTGCACAGTGTTATTTTGGCCCTAAAGGCATGCAGAAGTTAGGACAGCGTTGCCGTGACGACCGTTGCTGCTGCCGGTTGGAAAGTTCGGCAGTTGAGCCACTGAGCTAATACAGGGAAAGGACTTTGAAATATTTGTGTTCTTCAAATAAGTGTGCATCACTGACGAGTAAGTTTAATATTTGAGTGTTTATTGCAGTTAAATGAGTTATTTTCATTCTTAGTTACCTGTTGATAAGTCTTGGTTATCTGCTGTGTGTGTGTATTGTAGAGTGTTGTGCCAAACCTACGCATCCACTAAATGGCGCCAAGCCATAATTGTTAGCTAACTTTGTCGTTTGCTGATTAACAGTATATTAGAGGTTAAACTTTTTAGAGTTTAATTATTTTCTCCTTAGCTTATCTATGGTGTGATGTGTAATGATAGGGTAATTTGAATTATCTTTCTTGTCTTGTTTTAGGAAACCACACACACACTTACACACGTATCTACCTGGAAATACCTTATGTTCATTTAATCAATTGGAATCCGAAATTGAGTTTGGAATATAGACCAGTTAAAGGATCCTGGCTCATGTCTTCATCCTCCACCTGCTGCACCTTCTTCTAACATCTAGTCCTGATTGACATTCTGGCCTGAGTAGTGTTCTGGCCGACACTCCCGGTTGAGAGCAGTGATAAACCCGAACAGTACCTTATAGTCCAATAACTTACAGCAAACTCACCTACACTCGCACAGTGGACCCACAATGTCAATTTCAGACCCCTCCATGATTTCTAAGTATGAGAACTTGCAAAATAGCAGAGTGTTTAAATACATATTTTCCTCACTGTTTTTTTTTCTGTCATCTTGTTCATTTGTACTCTCTCTGCTCTGGTTCCATCAGCTTTCCCTCCGCAGACAGCAGGTGAGCGAGAAGCTGAATGAGTGGGCCGTTTTCAATGAGAAGAACAAGGAGCTGTGTGAGTGGCTCACACAGATGGAGAGCAAAGTCTCTCAGAATGGAGACATCAGTATTGAGGAGATGATTGAAAAGCTACGGAAGGTAATTTGTACTAAAAATATCTGCAACGCTTTACCTTGCCCATGAAAAAGTTGATTTAAGCTGAATGATTTCTTCACTGTGTGGCTTATTTATTGATCTTAAACAATGAAGTATGACAAAAAGCAAACATAACTTGGATACAATTGAAAAAGGAAAATTTCCGAATGTTCTAATTGTTGTTGCTTTCATGCATAATGGTTCTCACTGTAAACCTTTTAAATATCCTTAACACTCTTTCTAGCCTACTTCATGTTGTCAGACAGTTTCTGCACTGCAAAAACAATCTAGAAAAAATAAGTAAAAAAAATTCTTAAATGAAGTGTATTTACTCTTCATTTGAGTAGGTGAATAAGGTGATTTGCCAATGGAATGAGTAGTTTTACTTTAATAATAATTAGATAATAAGCAAATAAAGTCAATGGAATAGTTTTTTCCTATTTCAAATGTAAATTCTCTTTTTCCATAGGCAAAGAGTCTCACCTCAATTCAAGAAAAAAATGCACATATCTTAAGAAACACTTAAATTAACTTATTTAGATTTTAATTTTTTGTAGTTTATCAAAGTAACCCAATATTCTACAAGTCTGGCAGTAATGAGGTGTGACTTTTCTCAAAGGCTTGATGGCTGTTGTTGTTTCCAAGGCTTAATTGGCTTCTTTCCTCTTTATAATTGATTTGAAATCTGCTTTTTAAAATTTGTGTAAAATGTATGATTTGAAACATTCAAGTGTGTCAAAAAAGCAAGGGCGTAGGTTTGATCTCAACTTTGGTAGGGACACTATTGGTCTTAAGTTGAATTGGTCTGATGTCATTGGTCTTATGTATGCTCCTATTTTTTTTATGCTTGACGTGAGCATCGGCGCATTTCGTTTAAAGAGAAAACAGCTTTTACAACATTTATACAAATTTTATAAGCACTTCACACACAAGATGCTGTTAATCAATGTTTGAAGCATCAGTGGCTCGGAATAATGAAAAAAAGGGACGACTTAACACTTTGTAAAGGGTTATATTTGAACTTACCAGTGACTTAGACTAATACGTGCTTTTTAAGCAAATATAGTCTAAATATGTCGTATGTGTACTTATCTTATCTGTATTTATTCTTTTGATGAAATAGAATTGTGCAGAGGTAAACCCCACTCTTATTTATTTTTTTTTTAATCTGATATCTGTAGTGTTTAACAAAGCAAAATAACATATTCAAGGGACTGCATAAGATTTATTGTTTTTACATGGGCGCGGGAACTATAAGAGGAACTGACACTGAGCATTTAAAATATTGACTTCAATACAAATTACACGTTATGAGAAAAAAGCGACTCCAACAACACTGTATTGTAAATTATAAACATGTTGTTGACATAGAATTATTGGTAGGGACAAGTAGGTCTGGCCAAAATTTTGGTAGGGACATGTCCCTATTGTTCCTATGCAAACCTACGCCCATGCAAAAAAGCAAACCCAGCAAAAAAAAAACAAAAAAGGGAAAAAGGTTTTCCCAATAATGTGTCTACAAAATAAGGATGAATTATTTTTACATAACATTGCTAACTTGATGTTTCTTCATCAGGACTATCAAGAGGAAATCAGCGTTGCTCAGGAAAACAAGCAGCAGCTACAGACGATGGGAGAGCGTCTGGCCAGAGCCAGCCAGGACAGCAAGGCAGCCGAGATCCAACATAAGCTCAGCAAAGTCGGTGAGCGCTGGCAGCACCTGCTGGACCTCATTGCAGCCAGGTGAGTTTACAGCAGACCCTCATCTGCTGTTCAGACGTTAGTCGCTGAAAATCTCAGACAACCAAACTCCCTTTTTGTTTAAATTCACCGTATAAGCTTTAATTTTTTACTGAAGCTCTGAAAGATTTAAAGAATATTTAATTTTAAGAATGCTTTGGTAACCAGATGCTTTATTGCAGTTAGCGGAGGGTTTTACGTTCTTCCCACCAGGCTGCTGATAAAATTCTCTTTGCTGCAGCTTCCACTCTTCTCCTTACAGAGGGTAGAGCAATGATACATTATTCCTTAAAGGTTTACTTTTTGATCATTTGGCCTTTATTCCTTTCACAGAACACTTTGAATAACTTGTGGCGGAATTTTTCACAACCCCTTACATTTTTAAATCAACACAAAGTGCTTTGTTATTGTTAAATGAAACAGAAATTATTGTATTAAGATATGAAATATAAGCATCAAGTTAAATTCTGGAATTAAATTGAACATGTGATACCTGTAGATAAAAATGCACAAGGAAATTGACCCAACTACTAAACTGCTCACTTCTGTGTAGTTTGATTTCAGTATGAATTCAGCTGTTCTGCCAAAGCCTCTGAGGTTTGCTAAAGAACATTAGTGAGCGGACATGATCATGAGACCGAAGAACAAGCAACATATTCCAGTTTTTACTACGCTCAAATGTGGAGGAAGTTTAAAATGAATAAATCACAAACCAGTAATAGTTGTTTGTCCATGTGCCTTGATGCCACTCCTCCCTCTAAAATGTAAAATGATCTGACCCAAACTTCCACTCCAACTCTCCCAGCTGCTTTGCTCGGCTGTTGCCCTCTGGGGCAGCAATGGAGGAGGAAAGAAAGGGGAGGACTGTTTCTGACCTCATGCAGGCAGCTGTGCTCCCGTGGTCTTTTAGATCCTTTATTCGTAGTAAAAAATGCATAGTCACTTTAATGCTTTGTCTGAGTCTGCAGACGTACTCGATACTGCATGCTTTCTGTTGACACTCAGCCTTTGTGTAGTCAGTGTTTAATATTTCCACCCTCTGCAGCACATGTTTCTGACTGTACGGCTGTTTTTAGAAGCAGCCACACTTGTCACTCTCAGCCACTCACACACTCATACCGGCTGGTTTGGGAGCTTTTCTTTTTTTAACCTTGGAGAGCAACAGTAGATAAGTCATGCTTTTGTCCCCCCGCCTCTACCTGCTTCGCTCCCTGCAGATAGTTTTAACCAAAGTCCCATGTGGAAGTTGCAGATAGAACCGTTTGGACACTTGACTTCCTGACTTAGCCGTTTTCCTTGGGAATTTCAACCCTCCGCTCTATGGTTCTGGATTTAGGGACGGATAACATGGCAGGATGTTCCAGCGAGGAGGATCTGCCAGAGTGCGACTGCGATGTCAACAGGCAGGAGTTAAAGATTAACAAAGAGTTTTGTGCTTAATGCAAGGCTGCTTGTTGTTGTCAGTCTTTCAGCACGGTGTGGGGAATGACTCCCATCATATCTGTGCTGCTGTTTTCATCAGGCTTTGTGGATATTTACAACATGCAAATTAAGGGAAATATTCTTAAAATTTGAATTATTCAAAATTGGAGTTGATGGTGAATAAGAAGCCATTTTTAAATGCCTTTCGATGGTGCTAACTGTCACGCAACTGTCATTACAACATGCCTAGCAGGCTTAGGTGTTTTTGAGAGGTGTGCAGCTGATCCATGGTTCTTGCAAATGCAAATAACAGTCAAATTTCCTTTAAGTTTTGTATTCAGTAATGTAATAACACCAGTCACATGCACTAATTCTTAGAAATAGTTGAACTTTGGTATGTTTATGCACTGTGAAAACATGCTGATATTATTACTCTTATGTCTGGTGGACGTTTCACTGCTTTTCAGACCTAATGCTTTGGAGAAACGAAAAAGATTGCAAGATTTTTAGTACATCATTTAGGGTGTTATCACTTTCCAGATAAAGTGCTACAGAAATAAAATTCTTAAACTAGTAACCCTGTGGAACATTTATTTTTCTCAGAATTACGCAACTTTTCTACATACCATAACAGATTAAATATCAGTTTGACCTGATTCACTGCTAATAGCTTCTTTTGGAGTTGGCCCATGTTTGAATTGATTCCTCGTCTTTAAATCTGTTCACTGATTAGGGTGAAAAAGCTGCGGGAGACCCTGGTGGCCGTGCAGCAGCTGGATAAAAACATGAGCAGCCTCCGTTCTTGGCTCTCCCACATTGAAGCAGAGCTCTCCAGGCCTATCGTCTACGAAACCTGTGACAAGCAGGAGATCCAGAGGAAGCTCAGCCAGCAGCAGGCAAGCAAGCACTGCTGCAGATGTTTAACAGACCTACATCCATAATTTGATTATTCTGTTTTTGATTTTTTTAAGCATTTATGGCGAGCTTTGTGAAAACAAAACAGAAATGTGTGTTTATTTTTATATTAACATATAACAGGAGAGCAGTAGATAAAACTAATAGGGAATAAGCTACATTACTTGAGCTATTTTCTTTAAAACAAATCACTGAAGGTTTTGTTCATTGGATTCTGGTTTAAATCTCATTTTGTCTGTTAAAACGCACTAACCTTCCTCTGATTAGATCAGCAGGCAGACTTCACTACTTCTTGTGGTTATCGAAACATCTTTGTGTTTTTATCTAAAGAATACATTAGCTTTATTTCTAAATAATGTGTGAAACAAAGTAAAAACAGGCGAATGCTTAATTATTATCAATTATTATTTTTTCCAGGACCTTCAGCGGGACATAGAGAAACACAGCACAGGTGTGGCGTCAGTCCTTAACTTGTGCGAAGTCCTGCTGCATGACTGCGACGCCTGCTCCACAGAGACAGAGTGCGACTCCATCCAGCAGGCAACCAGAGGCCTGGACAGACGCTGGAGGAACATCTGCGCCATGTCCATGGAGAGGAGACTCAAGTAAAATAACCTCCGCTATTTTTTCTTTGCAACTTCACAAAGAATTCAAAAATATTGCCAACTTTGCATAAACATTTTTTATTCCATTTGACTCTATTTTTTTCTTTGTAGAATTGAAGAGACATGGAGGTTGTGGCAGAAGTTTCTGGATGATTACTCCAAGTTCGAAGATTGGCTGAAAGCATCGGAGAAAACTGCAGCCCTGCCCAACTCCTCTGGTGTTCTCTATACTGTGGCTAAGGAGGAGCTGAAGAAGTTTGAGGTGTGTTAACATCAAGCTCAATTTGTAACATTTTTGTAAACAGCTCTGTTTTTTAATGCACAGTATTTTCTTTTGTTGTAAATTCTTCCCTTGCTACTTTTAGACGTGGTACAATAAAGAGTATTTCTACTCCATTTATTTGTCTCAAACAGAAAACTTTATCCTGCAAATGCAGTCTATGCACCAGTTCATAAAAGCAGAGAAGTATCAGGTTGCAGCAACTGATTTGCGTGGTGGTCTCAGCTGCTGCAGCCCGTCACTGTGCACGTGCACATGTCTGCCGACTGAATGTCTGGGGCAGGTCTTCATGTGCGCTGCTTGTCCTTGACCCCAAAAATAAGTCAAAATAAATGAAAGTTTTAAGGGTTTAGTGTAACGCAGTAATTTGTAGAAATGTACTTGAATTTCCTTCATATTTTGTGATTGGTTTTAAATCTGTTTGAGACACTTTTTTGTATGAGCAGCGACAAAAAGCCTCCAGTTTATCTATACCCTATTTTACCCTATTTAATCAATCATTTATCATTTAATATTTTCTCCCTTTGCAAACTGTTCTCACATTGTATAAACGTTAAACCCTAACAGACCGTTATTTTAATTTGTCATATTTTAAAGCTATACCTAAATGCCATGGAAGTAAAGTTATTATAAGTGACGCATCTGTATGTTTTTAGGCCTTCCAGCGCCAGGTGCAAGAATGTTTGACCCAGTTGGAGCTCATCAACAAGCAGTACCGCCGTCTGGCCCGAGAGAACCGTACAGACTCCTCCCACCGCCTCAGAGAAATGGTGCATGATGGGAACAAACGATGGGACCACCTACAAAAAAGAGTGGCTGCCATCCTTCGCAGATTAAAGGTAGCTCCATCAGGCTTACTGGTTATAATGTTTATTGAGTTGGAGTTCAAAGTTGGTTGAATATTTGTGATCAGATTCTTTTCTTTTTTTACACTATTAAAGTTAAAATCACAAAGCCACTTCACATCTAATGTTCTATCAATTGGAATGAGAAAATATGGATTCATTAATGTGAATTTGTGCGTGCAGCACTTCATCAGCCAGCGGGAGGAGTTTGAGACGGCCCGGGACAGCATCCTGGTCTGGCTCACTGAGATGGACCTCCAGTTGACCAACATTGAACATTTCTCTGAGTGTGACGTGCAGGCCAAAATAAAACAGCTCCGAGTAAGAACAAGCATCCTTCACCATTTATCCACCTCAATAAATTCAATCTAATGCCAGTATAACTATGGATTCTTATTGGCATGATAAATCAAAATATTATTATGTGTGTGTGCAGGCATTCCAGCAAGAGATCTATCTGAACACAGCGAAGATAGAGCTCGTGTTTCGCCAGGGCGAAGCTTTGATCGAGAAGAGCGAACCTCTGGATGCCGCCGTCATCGAGGAGGAGCTGGAGGAGCTGCAGAGATACTGTCAGGAGGTGTTTGGGAGAGTGGACAGATATTACAAGAAGCTCACGAGACTGCCTGTAAGTGAACAGCTTGTTGTAGAGTGATTCTGAATGGTTTATGTCCTCCATTCTTCAGCTTAAAAGGGGTAAAAATTAACAATTTAAATTTCTACATGAATAAAAATCATGAGGGCCTTTTACTATTAACCCCTGGAATTAAATGCAAATTATCATCTGTAGAAGTAAAAAAAAACATCTGTTGGAGGAGAATCTGTTCAGAGACCAAATTTCACTTTTGCTCATCATAGGTCTGACTTTAAAGAAAAGCTGGCAAGGAAAGTATTTCTAAAACAATAAATCCATAATTAGTTTTCAGAACCGTGCAGTATTTATTTATAAAGGACCTCAATCGACTCAAGAGTTTTGTTTTGGAACAGATTAATGCATTTTGCTACCAAATCCTTCTTCTCTGTCTCCTTTAGTTGGCCGATGATGATCTGGACAGCTCAGACAGAGAGTTGGACGTGGAAGATAGCGGAGACCTCCCCGATCTTCAGTGGAGCGAGTCCCCGGTCCCGCGGCCTTCGAGCCGACCCACTTCAGGCACAGCGGCGCTCATTCGGGCAGACCGCTCCGGCAGAGACACTCCGGCCAGTGTGGACTCCATCCCCTTAGAGTGGGATCACGACTACGACCTCAGCAGAGGCCTGGATAGTCCCAGAGGGCGGAGTGACTCAGACAGGACCCCAGACCACGAAGAGAAGGATGAATACCTGAGGACCAGCGTTACTGTGTTGTCAGGTTAGCTCTATTGAAATAATTTCCATTTATTCCAATATTTAACTTTAAGATGAATAAAATCATGAATCGGAAAACTCCTAAAGCACAAGAACAATAATCCAAGAGGACAGCAAAAAAAAAATCTATAACTGTATGGTATTCAAGGATGTTGGCATCATAAGTAGAGTATGTTGTGTCTCTTTTCCCAGATGTAGTTATCCCAGAGAGCCCAGAGGCCTATATAAAACTGACAGAGAACACGTTGAAAACGTCCTCTGGTATGAAACCGCATGAGTCAGTGCGGCATGCCATCATTTAATGCTAAAGCTTGTTTTGTTTGTAACCGATGCATTCTCCAGCCACCTTTAACTGCATGTGAAGATAAAATTATCACAAAGCGTCATCCATTACCCTCCAACTCTAATAAACTTAACTTTCTTTATAATTCCAGTGATAAGCCACCATTTTCTATGTAATATTAATGCATGTCAATTAACAGCATGCAAACAAAAGTGCTCAGAGAATGCCGTCTATAGCATGCTAAAACTGTGTTTCCTGGTCAAGGTGAGCCAGGCCAGCTGGAGGCCAGTTTGAGACAGCTGGACCAGGCTCTGGATGCAGGACGCTACCACCTGCAGCAGAGAGAGGCCTCTGCTAGCCGCTCCAGCTCAGACGTGGACTCCACATACATGGGCTACGTAAGTCTAATGCGTCGTTTTGATATGATATTTATGAAAATAATGATATTTTTTATATTTAAATGAATAAGTTAATTACCTTTTCTATCAAATTATTTTGAATGATTTGCGCAGATGCGTCTGATGGGAGAGTGTCGCGGCAGCATCGACGCAGTAAAAAAAGCAGAAGGAGAGCTGACTGAGGACGAGGATGACATGCCAGGACTCACCAACCCGGCCAGCGCAGAGACGCAGAGCAAAGGTTCGAGCTCCTTCAACTCCGGACCGTTCAGGTTTTCCTGGTGCAGCTTTTCCTAACCGTCTTTTTTTTTCCCCTTCTAGGTGTAATTGAACGCTGGGAGCTGATCCAGGCTCAGTCGCTGAGCGAGAAGCACAGACAAAAACAGAACCTGCGGCAGTGGCAGCAGCTGATCTCAGAGCTGCAGACCATGAGAGCCTGGCTGGGTCAGTCTGAGGCTGAGCTTAGTCGGCTGCGAGGGCTGGACGTCAGCACCAACATTCACACCATCCAGCAGCGAATCAAGAAGCTCAAGGTTTGTGGTTAGAAATAATCTAGTTTGTATATTATGGGTTGGTTTTCAGTCTTTCCTGTCATTAATGCATGTGGGTTGCCTCTGTATAGTGTCATACGCTTAATAAAAATGCATCTCGCCTTAGCAAGTTAGCTAAACTCTCTGGAATCAGCGTTGGACAAAGAAATAAAGAAAAACACAAGGCTATTCTTAATAATGTACTAAATTGAACACTGAGATACAACTTAGATGGGTAGATAGGACTCACACAGGTTTTGATGTGAGTTAGTCAAGATTTAATATTCTGTAAAGTCTTCAGGAAAATTTTCCAACTGTTCGTTCATTTGTTCTGCATCCTTTCATATTTAAGATGTAGTGGAGGATTTTTGTGAATTTTTGATAAAGACCCGCCCTCTCCACTTTAAAAAAAAATGCACACGCACAACCCTGTACCCGCTCCTGAGAGGGAATGCCTATTTAACATTTGTGAGCGTGCATGAGCCCATTTCTTCTCGTGCACGCTCTGTTAAAAAGTTGCTGTTCGCATCACTCATGCAAGCTTACTTTCCAAAAGAAGATTAGCAATTTATCCACTATGTCAGACTCTCCACCAGGAAGTAAAAATGGGGACAAGCACATAGGATGGCCTTACGTAAACATATCACCAGATTAATTGATAATTAGGAGGACCACTTATTTAGATGATCCATCCAGTAAATGAACATCCTCCACTATACCTTTAAAATCTGATCATTGCAGAGATAATCTATAAGGATCTACCTGATTCTGCAGCGTTGTTAACCATGAGTGAGACATTTTGAACTGTAAGCCCCGCCCTCAACCTTCTCCCACTGTGAATCTTCCTCCACTGCAGCCAGTTTCGAGTCTAGATTCAACCCGAGGCGGTCTACCAATGCTCTCCACCTTTAGTCTGCTCCAAGATTTAATTAACTCTGTCCATTCCTGCGTTTCAACTCTCTCTTCTCCTCCTCCATTTTGACCCTTTTTGGTGGTTTTGATGTATATACATACAGCCAGCGCAGGTATCACAACTTTACCTCCATCGACGCCATGTTTCTCGGTGTACAAGACATGCTGTGAATGAGCTTGAAGAAAAAAAAAACATCGTTAGAAAACACCCTTAGTGGCTGATTGGAAAGAAGAAGCTCGTCAGAATAAACCCATTGGCAGAGAAAAATATCATGTCTAGAAGCCTGCACTAAAAATATCACTGCAAATATGAATTAGAAATAAATGAAAAATGTCTTAAATTAAGTGTATTTAGCCTTAATTTGAGCATGTAAATAAAATTATTTGCCAATAGAATGAGTATTTCTACTTAGAAATAAGATAATTAGATAATTAGATAATTTGCACTTGAAATACGAGAATCTGGTTGTTTTTTTGTTTTTTTTTTAAATGTAAATTGTCTTGTTCCATTAGCAAAGTGTCTCACTTACCTCTTCAATTCAAGAAAAAATGCACTTATTTAAAAAAAAAAAAAAAACTTTTTTAGATTTTCTTTTTTTCCAGTGTACCTGGACTCCTGCATAAGCACAATCAATATGGATGTTTTTTTTTTTTATTACCTCTTCTTCTGCACAATATACCGTATAAATAATTTTTGTCAGAGAGAAAAATAAATTTGATACAGGGCCTTTAAAAGGCTCTGAGAACTGGTTCAGGCTTTGGACCACATCATCTGAGTCTAAACCTTCTCATTCTGACTCCAACAAGTTATAATCATGTGGCAAATAAAGACTAGTTTATGATTAAACACTATTATAAATAATATGTGGCTCTACAAGCAAACATGCCCTCTGCTCTCTCTTCCAACCAGGAGCTGCAGAAAGCGATGGATTCTCACAAGTCAGAGGTCCTCTCTATAAACCTGAGCAGCGCAGACTTCCTGCAGTCAGAACCCGACTCAGAGGAGGCCTGGGAACTGAGGGATCGGCTAAAGGAGATGAACTCGCACTGGGAACGGCTCAGTAACTCGCTTGAAGACTGGAGGGAGGAACTGCAGAGGGCGCTCATGCAGTGTCAGGTAAAGAGCAGACTGAGTTTCCTTCATTTGGGTTATTCATTCAGGACTGTAAAGGGCAAATGTGAATTAAAATACCTTGCGTCAGTGGTACCTATAAAAATAGCTCTTTTAAAATAGGAAAATATCTATTTATGCCAGTAATGCATCCCTACTAAGATGCTTTATTTTAAAACATATACTATCTATTCTTCTGTTTTAGGAGTTCCATGAGATGAGTCACGGTCTGCTGCTGTGGTTGGAGAACATTGACCGCAGGAGGAACGAGGTGGTGCCCATCCCTCAGAGAGCCGACTATGAAACATTACAACATCATCACAAAACACTGATGGTATGCGGTTCCTCAAGTTAGGAACTGAAAGTGTCACCAATTACCTCATATGACAGTTTTCTCTCTGGATTAAGTATAAAAACTAAATAATCTAGAAAAGGTTAGCATATAGGACCGATATAAATAATGTTTTAGATTCTGATTCATTTTTTTCCCCCACTTTTCTTTTATCTTCTTGCAGCAAATCAAGTGTGAGCTGTTGGACTCACAGCAGAAAGCTACTTCTCTTCAGGAGCTTTCCACTCAGCTGCTGGTCAACGCGAAGCCCCTGTCTCTCCAGACGCCAGGGCAAAACCAGTCCCATGGCAGTGAGTGTCTAGAAGCACGGGAAAAGGTCCATGTTATCTGGAATAGGCTGCGGCTCCTTCAGAGGGAGGTAAGCTCAGACCTGGAGCTGCTGGAGAAGAGACTGGAGGCCGTGGAGGCACAGCAGGTTAGAGAATACTTCATGCTGACATGTGTTGCTTTATTTTATAGTTTTCTTATGTGATTGTTATATGACCCTGGTGTTGTTATTGGTTATATTCAGGATTACCTGTCTGGACCTATTGGAAGATCCCAAATCCGCGGATCTGCTGGTCCCAGGACAGAGAAGGCCATTCAAAGACGAAAACAATCGGTAACTTTCTCCCTGATGTCCGTGTCTTTGCTCCAGACTGTAGAATATCCCCCCTCTGAATGCTGCATACCGGTATTCATTTTGCTCCCAAAAACGTTTATAGATGTTTCCCTCTTGTATTTTATTAAATAGCAAATGTTTCTCCACTTTGCAGTTGCTCTGCTAACATATAGGCCACAATGAAGCTGTGCAACCTTCCCACATTTTTTTTTATGAGTTCTTTTTGCTGCCGGCCTCATATTGATCAGCCAAAATTACAAGAAAACCTGGCTTTTCTTTTTTTTAATATTTTATAATATTAGAGTGTTCTTTTAGTGTAATAAATGGTAACAATATATTTCTTTAAAGTGATTTTTTTTTTCCTGAGAAGCCAGATTTCTTGGTTCAGAAATCCAATCACCATCATTGATTACGTTGCTGCTATTTGGTTACTGATGATTCTCTTCCTTAGCGATGTTATGGCTCTTTTTATGTTTGTTTTTTTCCTCTCATCTGAGGCTTGACCTTTTTTTGCCCTTGACTGAAACATTCTTTTCTTTCTTTTACACCCTCCCTGCTCATTGCGTGGTACAGCCTCGAAGCAAAACTAGTCAGGCCCACCCAGGACACGCTGAGAGCGGCTCGCGCCACAGGTACCTCTCTCCAGGACTCTAGAAACTCGGAACGATCATGGAACTGAAGCCAACTTCTTAACATGTCTTATCAGAGGAGTTGAATATAAGTAACAATGGATGTCTAGTAGAAATTGGGATGTATTACATCCTGTTTAATTTGCGGTTTATTTTCATAAAAGTGCTTACAGAGTTCCATGATCTTCCTTCAATCTAGAGACCAAGTTGTCGGCTCTTAAATGAGCAGGGACTCGCCTACATCAGGCGACTCCCTCCCTCCTTTAAATCTTTTTTTCCCCTGCTTTGCTGCTTTTGAATTAGCATCATGTAATAACAGTCATTCCTTGTAGTACCCTTCTCACTCACTGGGTGGCATTACCTCAGCCCTCACTGTCCTTCAGCTGCTGAGTCTATAGCTTTGTTTTTCTCTCCCCTGTTTCCTTCCCGGTTCATTCTCTTCATAGTTTTCCAGAAGGATACGAAGCTTTAACTCTTGCCGGGTTTCCTGCTGTGTTTTACTCCCACTCTCTCCTCCGTTTCCTCCTCAGAACTCACCAAACCTTTGCCCTTCATGGTCTTGCAAAAGCATTCATAACCCTTGAACTATAAAAGAAGAAAATGTCTGTCATATTGCAAACCAGATTTTCAATAGACTGAAATATGACAAAAAAGTTTCAAAAAAAGAAAAAAAAAAATCAGAAAATGTAAGCATGTATTTGATATCAGCTCCATGCACTCCTTATACTTCCAAATAAAACCCTTAATAGGTAAAGTTCTTCTGTTCATTACTTAATTTCAGCCGGTCATAAATCCTGCTGTTCTGTAAAGGCCACAGAGGTTTGTTAGAGAACATTCCCTAAGATTTAAATATTCCCATCTGTATAAAAAAAAAAGAGTCCGCTGACAGGCTGGGCAAGTAGAACATTACTAAAAACAGCAGCCAAGATGTCCGCAGTAACTTTGGAGGAGCTACTGAGATCCAAATCTCAGATAAAGTAAATCTAGTCTTTTTCATCATTAACTACAACCCCAAAAGAAATTCTGTTTGCAATTTACAAAAAGTCATGTGAGAGACACAAAAAAATGCAGAGTAATGTTTAAACACACATCTGCACAGTGCAACATGGCAGCATCCTCAGACTGACGCTTCCAGAAAAACGAAGCCCCTAAACATGCAGCCAGTTACTTTGATTTAGATTAAATAATGAATCAATGTAACATATTGTAAGAATGAGCAAAAAAATTAGTAATTTAGATGGCCAAAGATGGTAGAGGTAATACTAAACGACTTGCAGCTGCACTAGAGGACCGCTCTACAAAGTACTGAGATGGAAGACACTTTTCAGATTATCATTTAGAAGAAAAGGAAAAAAAAACATAATTTCCCTTCCACTTAGCACATGAAATCTGTATAAAATAATAAATATACTGTGGAAAATACAGTTAAAAAATGTAGAAAAAGATAAAGACGTATACACTTTTAAAAAAGCACTGAAAGCTGTAATCAATGCAGACAAACCCTTTCTAGTCTTACCATTAATGCTCCTATAAAGTTCACCTCATTACACAAACAATTTGCAGAATGTGAGCTATTTAGATCAGGATATGTGCTCTGAAAATATAATCCACACATGCCTCCTTTCCAGCTACAGGTTTGTAGGAAGGAAGACTAAATGAAATGGGCTGCAGGGGAGGCGGCTGGAGGGATGTGTGTATTTGACCCTCATTCAGCCTCCGTGAGGATGAGTGCCTGGGAGAACATAATGTTCCTCCCTTTGAAACTTGGCTCCAATCGTGGAAATCTCCAGAGAGCTTTTTGGCATTATTCCTTTTTTTTTCTGTTTGGAATGATACGTGGCATTGAACTCTCACATAGTCGGCTCTAAAGCCAGAGTTTACCCCCCCCAGAGATTTGGAGTCCTCTATCTTTGAATGCTCTTGCTGCTATGTTGCTTTTTTTATACACTTCCCCCTTAAAAACATAATAATACTGCATGAATGTTTCCCCGTTTTGTCACCTTATCAAAAACCTTGATGTATTTCAATGAGATTTCAAGTACAAAGGAAACGACAGAAATAAGTGAATAATGTAAGGAGGGAAAAAACGTTTTAATCAACTCCATAGCTTCAAAACGCCTACTAAACTTATTAGAACCAATTTCCTTTAGAAGTCTCCTAATAATAAAGTAATTTAAACCTTAACCCATCCAGTTAACTGTGATAGGCTCCCCTGCTGAAGAGAAGCACAACCTCCATGTTTCACTGATGATCAGAGAGATGAGCAATATTTTTGCACGTAGCTTTTTTTATGATTTAACCTTTAATTTCTATAATCAGACTAGAAAACCTTTTGCATGTTTGCTGTCTCTCCTACGGAGATTTAATTCCACTAAACCACACTATTTGATGTTTCATGACCAAATGTGGGCAAAACGACAAGGGGTGTGAATAGTTTTGGAAGTAACTATGGAGGATTAGTGTTTTTTTCTTCTTTTTTTAATACATTCCAGAGTGAAGACTCTGAGTTAGAATGATGTTACAGTGCGAGAAAACATAAAGCAGATCGGACGTGCCCTTTGCTGCTTCTCACTTTTGTTTGGGTCTTCCTGCAGCCGGAGCCGATGGCCAGGCGCCGCTGGCTGCGTTTCCTCCCGTTCTGACCTTCTAGACGGCGTCTCCTCGCAGTCCTCCTCCTCAAACCACAAGTCCTTCCTGCTTCGGGTCCTCAGGGCCGCGCTCCCCGTCCAGCTTCTCCTGCTGCTCCTCATTGGCCTTGCCTGCCTGGTACCCATGACGGAGGAGGACTATAGCTGCCATCATGCCAACAACTTCGCCCGCTCCTTCCATCCGATGCTGCGCTACACCAACGGACCTCCGCCCATATGAGGAGCGTCAGACTTCATCTTCCTACTTCTTTGCCAAGGACTTCTCTGAATGTTTCCTCTTCACTTTGTGCCCTCAAGCAGTAAACTTTTCAACCTGCGTAATGAAGTATTTCTCTCATAATTGTTGCACACCCTTCAACCCTTTAACGAAGTGGACCTTCATACGATCAATGCTTTTTCTCAGTCCAGATAGTTCTGGTTTAACTTAAATGTGTATATATATTTTTTTTAAACTCATGTTAAATCATTTTAACGAACAAAGCACTATTTATGTAATGTATGTTGGGAGCCAAAGTCAGCCATGCTTTTTGTCCATGATATACAGCTGCTAGTATTTATTTAGTGTTCAATCAGCTTGGAGCTGATCAAGCTAAAGTATCCCTCCAGTGAGGGATACGTGTACCTGTAAATTGTAGAGTAGCCTTGCAGGTTGAGTAGCAATCATTCAGTCTATGTGTGAGAGTTTCATTTTAAGATGTCACCTTTGAGGATATTCTCAGATTTAAAAGAACAAACTGACTGAAGCAGCACAGAAACTCCTCTGAAGTTTGGGATGTAGCATCATTTTTGGGTTTAAAAATGACCTGCCTGACTCTAACAATGAAGATTTCACATGTTAAAGCAAAAATATTTTGAAGCACTGTTTAAAAAAAAAAAAAGGTACCGCACTGAAGCCATCTGCTAAAGCTAAGGCTTGCATCCCAACTAGGAAAGTTGGTAAAAGAACACATTTTATTTCTAAATTAAAAAATAAAATCACTTGCTTTGTAAATTATTGCTTAAATTTTCTTGGAAAAGAGGTCGGGGTTTTTTGTACTTTTTGGTTGAGCATGCACTTGAAGGTCTCCTGTGCTTAACGAAGCCAAACAATCACTGCTAGTGTTTTAGTGAATGGCTGTGACACGATAAAAGTGTGCTTTGTAATTACCGTCTAATTACTCCAGAAACACTGCATTGTTATAACTAATTCTGTAAAAATAAAAAAAAATAAAAAACATAAATTGTTATTTATGTATGTACAGTTTGGAAGATTACTCTTTTTGCAAATAATAAAACATGAAGTATTTACTTTTGTGCATTCTTGGACATGATTCGTAACACATCTAAAAAAAAAAAGTGAGCAAAAGTTTCCCACCATCAGCTTTTATTTACATGCACAATAAACACACGATAATGATGTCCGGTTTGGCTGGATTTACCCTCTAAATCAGCTCAAGTGAAGTTCCCACACATTATGTTGTGCCGCTTCAATCTGAATATTTAAACCATTTCTAACACATTGTTCTGATGTATCTCAGCCATGCAGGTAGAACAAAAGACATGCTGACATTTCTAAATTTGATTAAAATTTAGAAATGTCAGAAAAACTTTGTCACATTTATTAAAATATAGATAAAACTGCTTTGCGCCAACAGCTAGATTGGTCTTTATTAAACTTTAAATATATTCTCTTTTTTCCCTATTACCAATATAACTAAGACATTCATGTTTATCATATAGCTGGATAGCTTTTTTCTTTAGTTAATGTGAAGTATTGCAGATATGCAACAATCCTTTTGCTGATTAAAAGATGCAAAACACTGCCTCAGTTTTGCAGACGATGCAACAAAAGCTGCAACAATAAATGCATCTTGCATTTAATTTAAAAATAGATTCTGTCTATCTGAGCTCTAGATGTTTCCTTCTAGAATTAAAAACCACCATAAATCCACTGATCTCTCATTTTTAAAATATGTTAAACAATAAAATAAATAGAAAAACAAAGATTCTTCTTTCTAGGAAATGATCAGAGGGCTAAATTTACAAACTGCTTAATCCAGCATGAGATCAGTAAAAAAGTGATAAATTAAGGCATTTGAACAGGGAGCAGGACTGATCCGAAGACTGGTTTACAGCTTAATCCACAGGCTAATCCAGGGTTAAGTTCAACAGAAATCTAAGCATAGTTAATTTAACAATATTATTCCATGTCTTAGGGGGAGCATAATAACACTGAATAGATATTATCACCGAAGACAAAAAAAACAGCATCTGTTGGATCGATTTAACCATATCTATTATCTATATCCATATCTATTTCAACATTATTTTTTCATTTATTTGGATTGCATAATATCATAGTGTAGATACTACATAATATATAGAAAAGTCTGCATATTAAGCATGTGCAGTTCATCTCGAAATTTCCCAATCACAATGGCAGGTATCCTAAAAGTGAAAAGTTGAATTAATTAAAAAAAAAAGTCAAAATGTTATGTTGTGTACAAAATGACTGATGTAACTTAAGGTTTTAGAAGATGTTTGAGGGCTGATCAAAATGAAAGCTATAAATAAACTGATTTTTTAGCAGTAATCTGCTCCCCTGATCACACAGCAGGTGCTGTTGGTTGCCATGCTTGCTGCACATAAGCATATTATCCTCAGCACTCTGCTATTCAGTAAACTTAACATCACAATATGCAAACCTTAGGAAGTCAGGGAAACGGGATACTTAAGGGCTCTTTAGTGGAAATAAATTTCACACAACACAGTAGCCTACACCCAGATTTAAACGTTATGCAGATTGAAGTGACTAGTTTGCTTTCAGTTAATACAACATTGTATTGCTGTTGAAGTGTGTGTCCAACCAAGGATCAAGAAAATCCAACACATTTTTGTTTGTTTAGTCTTTGTTCTACTAGGAAAGCAACAATTAACACTACTACTAGTTTTTATTGAAATCGTCAAGTGATATAAGGAGAAAGGGTAAAAATAACAGATCTGCAAATAAGAGATCTTCCCGAAAACTCATCAAATCAGTCGAGTTATTTTTTTTAAATAAAAAAGGTGAAAACCAACCTCCTGAAAAATTTCTATATGGAAAAATAAAGTATTTTGTTGAAGATAACTGCACTTAAAGCACTTTTCAATTTGCCTGTAGATTTTGGAGAATGGATTGACTTATTTATATTTAGTCAAACTATTTTTTATGAAAATACCCCAACAGAGTTACGATCTTAGCCCAACACTTTACTATTATTATCATTACTGCTGTTGTTTTTTTTATTGGTTTCCTCAATCTATTGTGTCCTTTGCTTTTTTAATCTGAACCGCTGCCAGATTAGATGTGGCATCTAGTACCATTAGTTCCATAAAGTCAGATGTCCAACATCAGCAACATCTCATTTTCCAGCTTTTGTCCAACACGTCTGCATCTGACACAGCTAGCAATCAGAACCACTAAACATCTCCCTATGCTGTCATGATAAAACTAGAAAAGATCATTTATAAATTTAAATTACTACAAAATTAACTATAACTTTTAAATGTATTCTTACAAATATACCTGTTATACATGAGCTATTACACTTAAATTCATAGAGGAGTAAATCCAGCCAAAATCTGCATACTTTTACCGCAATAGTAGGTTAGTAGCAACAGGTTGTTGTTGAAGTGTTGGCACTCTTACATCTTTCTATTGCAGCTACAGTCAAAGTGCTAAAAACACATGCCTGGACACAAGCTCATATAAACATTTAACACACAAATTCTGAGAAAATTGTGGCAGGTAAACATAGGAAACCCCTCCTGTACACAGACAGCAGTGGATAACAGTTACTCAGCGTTCAATAGTGTGTAATCAGTGTGAGCAGGATTGATCTGGTTCCTGTTAGCCATCTGAGCTGCAAGGATAATAAAAAAAAAAAAGGAAATTGATATGAGTTTGCACAGATGACTCATGCAATACCTGCATGAAGCATCAGTGAAAGCTATCAGTTATAGGTCAAAGTAAAAATAATGCCCATTAGTCTTTCAGTCAGAAGTGCACTTTGGTCAATATAAGGAATACACAAAGATTAGCTGCTCATCCTTTAAAATCATTTTACGTCACTAAGACCACATCTGCGGTTTGAAATTAAAAGCAATGCAGAAAAGATGAAACTCAGCAAATCAAATCAACTGAACTGAGGCTCATAGTGAGCTGAGAAGGTGCATTTTATAAAGACAAGCTTCTCCCCTTTAGCTAGAAAGTTATATTCTCATTTATAAATTACTTTCTGATAAAATCATTGTAAATATAACCCTCCGCTTTCATTTTTCAAAACTGCATGTATCATTCATAAAAACGACTCTGGGCCTCCCACTCACAGGACCTGGGTGCAGTCAGAGCGAGACCCTCCGTACTGCAGGACCCCTGGAGCCGAGGGAATTCTGATCAGGTTCTCGCTGCTACCTCGAGGTCCTGAACTACAACCTGCTGATGAGGAGCTGCTCCCACAAACACCACTAGAGCTGCTGGTGGAGGGAGGGTTTCTGTCGTCATCCGGAGATGAAGACTCAGGCGGTTTGACTGGGTGGTGGCGATGAGCATCAAGCATCTCCAGCAGCAGATCATACAAAGGCACTTTGTTCTTGCATTTCATACTGTAGAGGTGCTCCATGCCTTTGTTGCTACACGGATGAAAAACAAAAGGAAAAATTACGTTTAGATTAACTTTTATTAGTAAATAATTCAAAGCTCTAGATGTCCTTGTACATCCTGACAAGGCTAAAGATTCACAAATACAGTCACCTCTAATCTGAACTTTTACATGTTTCCTTTTCCTTTACAATCTTTGATAATAAAAGAGGCATAAAAATAACAAAAGCATTGTTGATTACACTTCTGCTCCTAATAAAATAAGCAGAAAAAATCTGAAAAAAAAAAAAAGTTTTTGTTCTTTCAATTGTTTAAAGTTTGTAGAGGATTCTTTTTTGTTGTTTTTTTTCTCGAACTGATTACTTTTATTGAAATGTGTAAAGCAATGAATTTGTAGGCTTGGTAGAAAACTATTTTCAACCAAATATTACAGTATTTAGCGTATTATTTCCAACTTGCTGTGACTGCAGGTTTAAGCTTTCAGCAGCTCCATCGGGTTTGAATAGAGAGGTTAATAAATACCACAATATAACAAAAAAAATGTTGATTTAAAGATTATATATGAGGTTATATACGTTTTTACTGAGAAATATCTTGATTTTTTTTATTTTTTTTATTTGTGCCTTTGCGACTAAAACATTGTTTAGTTCAGCACAAATGCCTATTTTCCTTAATTTACTTGGGGTAAGAAATTTCTGCGCCATTTCTGCGGATGTTCTCTCAAGCGTGTCTGTGTTAAATGGGTCCAATCTAGCAAGCGTTATACTCAAGATGGAGTTTGTTGATACTCAGAAGCGACCAGCATCGAACTCAACTCAGATACCAAAGGTAATTGCAGGTAAGTTGAAAAATGTAAATAAAACTTTGACAAGGATGAGCTCAACTTATGAGAACGAGCAGAATAGGGCTGCAGTTCTGTGTTTTAGCCACAGGTGGCAGTATCACAAGAAAACTCTATAATGCCTCTTTAAGTATATAAATAATATAATTAATACAAACCACACTTCTAATCTTTATAGAAATTTTTTTTTATGGTTGGTGTAAAACATTGAAACTACAAAAAAATGAAGATATACATCAGCTTTTACACAAAACAATGATCTAAGCTTAAAAAAAAGAATAATTAAATATTAGTAAAATTTATTTTAAAAAATAATAAAAAAAGAGTAATAAAAATAGTATCATTTGAAGTATTTTAGCACTAAATTCCTAAATTTAACGTTTTACTGGGATTTTATGGGATGAAATGTTTACATGGATAAAAACACTCATCTCTCTTTACTCTGACAGTCTTAGATGAAATCCACTGCAAACAATTGTCACCTGATCAGTAAACAAAGACATTATGTGTGCCAAATACTATGTATGGATAAAAAAAAAATGCAAACTGAACACACCGTCCTCATGGTAAAACATGGCCATGGCAGCATTGTGTGGGTTTTTTAGAAGGGATAGGGGGAGCAGATCTAAGTTAGGGGAGGAAAAAAAAGGGCAATCCTTAAAGAAAAGCCTCTAAGAGGCTACAAAAGACTTTAATCTGGGCGATCAGCCTCCAGCAGGAGAACCTCACTAAACCTGTAGCCAACAACACAATGGGTGGTTGAGATCAAAACCTGTTGAAGTGTTAGAACGGTCAGAGGTCCAAAGCCAACTCCAACATGATTTAAACCACACCACAGCTGTAAATAACCAAAAACAAAGTTCTAGAAAGTTTTTAGTCGATTCTTATCTTTTTGAGCTTTGGTATCTTTGCTACTAAAAACTTTCTGACTAATTTTACATTTTGATATTCGCACCTGTTGACTGCTTTTTCATAAATTTGTTCTATTCTACGTAGAATGACAATAAAGCATTAGTCAAATATTAAAAACAGGAACCAATCAGTCTCTTCTGGGACTTCTCTAGTTAGGATTTACCTCATGTGCCTGATGTGGGAAAGCAGCAGCAGCAGCTGAGCCTGTCGTCTCGCCTGCTGCTGAACCGAATATCCTGATTGGCTGATGTGATGTATGAGCGCATCTGTGATGGTGTCCAGCATGTTCTGAACGGCCGCGCTGTCGTGAAGGGGCTCCATTGTGCCGGTGCAGAAAGAAAAGGCACCTGACAAAAAGAGAATCAGTTCTCTACATGTTGTCTAATTTCTTTTTACACAAACTAAATGAAAAACTAATTCTACTTGCTTCAGATTCATTTTGGGGCAAAAATACCAACTGAAGTTTGTTTTGTCTAGGAGGTAATAAAGGTGAGTCATGGATATAAATGGAAAGATTAATTTGAACTGAAGAACCTTAGTCATAAACCAATCAAAAGTTCATCACGATCTACAGTCTGAGCTCTTCCATCTCATCCCCCGGGTATTTCCGACGTCTCTGGATCGCATATAGAATATCTCAACAAACACCCCCCCCACCCCCTGCGCTGTTTCATGTAGTCAAGGCAACAGTTATCAGGCATATTGACGATACAGGCCTTCCCAGAACACTCTGTTCGCCTAATGTGTCTGCTGCTCTCAAAGCTACACCTCTGTGGGTGTAGTTTGACACTGCTTAATATTTACTCAGAGCAGCAGAAATGAAAACCTGTGTCATGATGTGCATGCAAACAAAACTGTGAAACTTGTGCTTTTAATTGGTGACATGATGTGTCTAATACACGCTGCCAGAATTGTAAATGTAGTCTCATGTTGCCTTTTTAATGCTTCACCCCTTTAGAAAACCTAAACTGTGGATTCCTGCATGGTTTTATTTCAAAATTCCATGATGTTCCACATTAAGACTATCACAGTTCTGAGTTTTTATTAGAGAATTGACAAAGTAGGGATGGATCCTGCCAAATGTCTATATGTCGAGCATTGTCTTACCAGAGTTGAGCAGTATAATAGCTTTAAGGCAAACAAATTCCTCAGGTTTCAGTTTGAGCATTCGGAAGCGGGAAGCGGTGGCCAGCAGCATGTCAAAGATCTCAGTCATTCCCTCAACACAGTCTCCCTCATTCCTAGGAAGCAGAATTAACAGAAAAATACAAATAAAGTTTGAATAAACACTGAAGTGACAGCAACAGAATCAGAGCCTAAGTTTGTCTCTTTCGAAGAGAAAAAAAAAGAAATCAGAGGCATTTACAGCTGTGAAAGCATCTAAAGAGCGGCAACATCAAGAGCTAATGCACTGAATCGCTGCAATGCTCCATTTATCCCTACAAGTGAAAAGTGAGGGGAAAGATGGATAATATCCAGTTGCTTCAGTGCGAGATAAACTTGGACGGCACAAAGGCAGGGGAATGTGTCAGCCCTGACCCCACATCATTTTAGTCATCATGTCCAATTGGCGAGGACACTCATTCAGGGACCGGGTTTTAGAGATAATACTCTGTAATACACTTTTGAATCAGATGGAGCCATCAGAGGGTAAAAGCTCTGTCTGCTCGTCTCCATCTACCCCCTCCTCCCAAAGGTAGACACTGTGGTCAGACCAGCCTGTTTACTCTGAACATGTGGGGAAATGAAGGGAACAAGCTGTGCCTGCAAAGCAGAAAACACCCTTATGTCTCCCTCGATCTCTATTTTCTAGCCATCTCTGCCTCTCGTTGAGATCTCCCCCCTTTGCTTCCTTTCTTATCTTGCCTCTTTCCACTGTTCTTCATTTCCCATCATTCTTTGCATTGAAGGTTTTGATTAAAATCTGAGTCCTGGTTTCCAGCTCAGCCCAGTAATGATTAGGAGGGTTATTTCAGGTAAGGGAGAGGCTGCTCTCCTCTCCACAGGGAGCAGGTAATTAGTCTTTCACTCTGTGACAGATGTGTTGGGACGGCACAAAAGCTGGCAAGGTGTGAAATGGAAAATCTACAATGCTGATGTATCACTCTTCAAATGTGTCTGAGATGCTAAAAGAAATGTGGAACAGGGGCAGGAAAAAAAAAAATAAAATAAAAAAATAGCCAATCCGGTAAAGCACCCGTTAGTGTATGATTGGTTAATAATTATCACTACCTGTCCAGTATTAGGTCCTGTGCAAAGATGAGTTTTCCAGGGCAGTGGATTGACCTCCAGATCAGTCCGATCATCAGCACCTCCAGCCATGAGCTCTCCAGCAGAAGGACCTGATCGTGGAGGGAGAGTTGCAGAAAACCTGGAAAAAAACAAATGGCATCTTCTGTTATTGTGAGGGAGCAGTCAGTGAGAGAAAAATCTACATTCTCAAACTGGATTTGTCCTTTTAATGTCTTCAGAAAGCCATGGTGATGATGTGACAGCTTTGTAATCTGATTACTTCACAACTTTTGAGTTAAATACAGACACACAATTTAATGTATGATAAGGAAACACCTCAAACACACCTATTAAATGTGTGACACTGTGGGGAAATCATAAGAAATCCTCCACGATGTCAGCAAAAGAAGAGAGAAATTAATGAATGGACCATTGAGGACCATTACTAGAGGAACAAATGTGCCATGTTTTTCTTTTTTTCTCCAAATAAATCTCAATTAAAAAACAGCAGGGACTGTCCAGGCAACAATGCTGTTCAGGAAGGGCTCTGGGTTCAGAATACTAAAATGCACATATTATCATCAGCACAAAATTAATGACCTTCTGCAGATGCTGTCTAAAGCTGTATTATCATGTAACAATCAGCCACTCAGGGCCATCCAACATAAAAAAATAGATGAAAGTTTACAAATAGATTCAGGGAAAAAGTGCTTCATTTTCAATGACATCCTCTGTGTGCTGCTGTAACTACATTTAGAAGTTTTAGTCCATAATGACCACAGCTTTGTATAGATAAAAATGGATGAAGTATCACAAGGAAGTGCCTTCATGGAGAAATGATAAACAGCCTTTCAAGACATCATCCAGAAATGTAACTAATGGGCATAAATTGGTCTAAATATTACAATACAACCTGAAACTTACTGACAATTTAGTTACTAAGTGGTAAGGTAAAGAAAAAAATAATATTAATTTATCTATAGGTAGCAAAAGTGTTTGTTAATCAGGGATCTAATGAACTAGATGCTTTTAAAAGAGGCTTGAAATTTGTTTGACCCAAATACTTAAATCCAAACACCATAGAATATCATCGACCAAAAACTGAGGAAATGTAGACAAAGTTTAACAATGTGATAAACTTTTTCTACTGACTGTACTTTGTCTAACAAGTGGCCTTCCAATTAAATCAAATGTTCTGAATTCTACATCCTGGGCTTTCACAAACTATCAAAGACGGTAATCTTTGTGTCTGTTAACTTCTGGATATGAAGCAGAAAGTAGAAATTATTTTGTTATTCCTGAGTGAAAAAGGAAAATTTTAGTCTTATCAATCATATCAAGAAAGTGAGAGAAAATATATTTTACATTTGTATTTTACAATTTATTTTACATTACTGGTAATTTGTGACTTTTCAATTTTATTAAAATGTATGCTCCTTGATGCTGTGCTTTGCTCTCATTTCACTAACTATCAGAAAATCACACAGATGGTCTTGTTTTTGAGCAGAGAATGCCGACCTAAATGAATCCACTCAAAAGAAAGCTTATCGCTGTCCCTCAGCTGTCTAAATCTACGTGTAATTATTCCAGACTATTTCCATTACCCCTCCTCTGCACCCTGATTGGGACGCTTAGCAATTGAAACTGTGTGTCTTTAGGCTTTTAGAGAGGCAGGAGGACATAAGGACTGAAAATAAGGATTTACCCTTCCCTATCCGATGAATGTGTGTTTTACAGTTGCACACCTTCTGCTGCATTTGGGCTCGATGGGGTGCCAGCAGATTGACCAAACAATCCCATCAAAGGTGATGACTGCAATTACTGCCACCTTTAATGGCTCTGCATTAGGGTCTTTGTGTGATCATGTGGGATCTTACGCTAAAGATCCCTCATTTCCTTGCTGGTGTGTGAGGAGTAAATGTCAGGGACTGCATCTGCACATTTTTGTTAAATATCTAAAAAAATATCAATTCAGGGGCACCGGCAGACCTGCAGCTACCTTAAAGCCTTGCTGACGTTGGCAGCTTCTGCTTCAGATCATTAAAATGCTTTATTAAAAAAACATTTTAAGATCAGACAAAACAACAAAGATAAAGAAAAACAGATTGATCTGTTTGCCCCACCATAACAAGAAGTTTATCTGGGGACTGAAGGTGGGGCTTTCAAACTTAAAATCTCTGCTAACTGTCAAGCATGGTGGTGGTAGCATCATGCTGTGTGGCAATATCACTCCCAGTGGTGCTTTAGAATTCCATTAAGTGTAAAAGTCTGTGACTTGAAATAATCTAAATTAAATTAATTCTATAAAGCTGATTCTAATATTCACTCAAAATTACATCAGAAGTTTTATTATGGCTTCAGGAAGCCGAACCTGTGTGACGAACAAGTACCTTGCTACTGGACATAAATCTAAATATTATACTGGAGTTATCTAAATATTTGAGCCTTAAGGAGTAATTTTTGTCCATGTAGAAATCAGAGTAAATCTACTTTTTACCTCCATTTGTCCACCCAGATTTGACTTCAACGTAAACCTGAGTGTATCTATATACACCAACTCTAGCTTGATGTCACACATTTCTAAACTGTCTTTATAACATAAACAAACTAAAGCAAAACCATCTGAACTGCATGTTTAGAAGCATTCGTTTGAGGAATTGTGTGAAAAGCCTCTTTGCCTAAATTGCTGGCGTGTGAAATTTAACCAACAGCAGCATTTGTAATGGCTCCCTAATTTATTATCTTCCGACAGATATAACAGATTTTTTTTTACCCAAAGCTGTTGTTCCATAAACTGGTGCAAACTCTATTAAACATGGCATAGTGACTAAATAAAAAGCCCAGACAACTATACCTATTTATTTTTATTTCTCAAAAAGTAGCCTTTTCCCCCAGCAGGTGGAAGACGATTACACAAAATAACTATTACTGCAGAAAATCATAGGTTTTAAGAGTTGTTGTTCCTATTAAGACCCAAATGACATGAAGAGAGTTGAATAATAAATCATTTCAATAACAATATTTAAGTCTTTAATTTCTAATTTTATGATACCAGGGATATAAATTATCAATCGGGGCCATTTTAGAGGGAATAAATACTCTCAAGGTTTAAGTTGCAATCTTAAAAGAACCCTTTTAGAATGTCTTTATTCCTGAAAAGAGTTTCTGCAGTTCACCTGAGATTGTTGTCACCTTAAATTAATATATTTGCAAGCAAGAACAATTCAGTTAAATTTAAAGTAGACGAAGAGAAGCAAACATTTAAAAATAATAATAATCGAGCAAAATACTAAATATTTCTTTGCAGACAACCTATAAGTCTGTTTAAAAGCTTTCTGCGATCCAACCTGGAAGCTTCTTCGCCCAGGCGATCATGTGGACCAGCTCCTTGTCAGCCATGCTGGTGAGCAGGGTCATCATGGTGGCCTCAGTATAGGGTCGGCTCAGTTTTTGACGGGAGCACAGCATTGGAGGCTCAGCACCCTGAAGCAGGAGCAGAACCTGGAAACACAAAGGGTAAAAATACAATAGATGTACCATGCAACCAGCACGATATCAGGTAGATTTCTCTTATAGAATATCTGTCTAGAATCTTGTCAATATCTTGTCATCCTTTCAAAGATAATGAGCACCTGTTCAGATGGCAGGCTGGAAACTGAAGATCTTCCTCCTCCAAGGGCACTGCTGCGTCTCCTCTTATCATGATGGGGCGCAGCTCTGTTCTCCGGGCCTTTAACAGTCTTTTCTCTGTCACTGATGCCCGGCCGTCTTTTGTCACGCCTAAGAACACGACCGCGGTCTTTACGAACACCTTTAAAACGAGCAGACTCAATCAATAAAAAAAAACAGATAAACAACCAGACAGGTTTCTGCATATTAATCAGAAGACTTCAGGTTCTAACTACACTTAATTTGTAGATTAAGCAGATGGACGTGAAGACCAAAAAACGTGGGTGTGCATTGGTAAACAGTTGTACCTGTTCAAAAGAGATCTAAATATGGATAAAAATGATAGTTAAGGAAAAACATCTAGCTAACGATCCAAGTTGTAAAAAACTATATTAAAGTTACAAGAACTAATAAATGAAAAATAGGAATAAACTCACCCCCTTTCATCATGCCAACTTCGTAGCACTTCCTAAGACGGCAAGCCTGGCAGCTCTTCCTCCTATTCCTGTCAATAGTACACTGATTGGTCGCCGGGCACATATAGTCATTGTGACCTGAAATGGAAAAAAATCTATTATTCTTAGACTATAAGTCTAATTTTCTATCTGGAATTGAGCTATTTAGCAGCCAGGAACACTCCATTCCCTTCACCAAATGAACCTAGGATGGAGAAAATTAAAAAATGCCATCTTGGCTATTCCAATGCCATGGAGACTATTGGTTTCTTTTTGACCAGTCCTTCCTTGTAAGATTTTCCATCAATACGCTTCAGTTTCAACTCCTGAACTAAGCCACCAAGCAGATGAAAGTTCTCTGTGCACATGGAGCCATCGATCGTCTAAGGCTGGAAAAATGTGGTCAATAGCTCATTAAGAAATGTGTTTGTTTCACTTCCGAGCAATTCACCACATTTTTTACAACAGTGGGAAAATAAATCTGCTACACTTAGTGAAGACTTCTTAGCCTCAGATGTAACTTCCTCTTAATCCATGAAGTGACACTGATTAAACTTTGTTAATATTGTTTTTGGCTCAAGCTTGCAGGTAATTTACTTGGTATAATAGACCCACTGCAGTAGAAAATAAAACTTAACCTTATTTAAAAACCCTCATCAACCTGGTTTGTTATAGAAATGATGCTGAACTGTTCTTGTGAAGTTTAGTGGGTTTAATTAAATTTTTAAGTTGATAACACAAATAACATGGTGCAGTGTTTCTACTGGTTTTGCCTCCCTTGGCGGCAGCTGTTGCCATGAAGCGCCTGAATTATTTTTCTTTGCCCAAGATCATTTAGGGTTATTCTTTAGTGCAAGTTGTTTGTTTCAAATGCGTGAGTTTTCCAGCATGATTGGCATTTTGGTGTAACCACAGGATCTCAACAGGGTTTAATTACAGACATCAGCTAAGCCAACACAAAACATTGGTGTGGTCTGACTAACCCAAGTATCCACGATCCTAAGGTGACAGGTTAATTGTTAGTTAAAAAATCTGATTTCTTCTTTGGGGTTTTCATCAATTAGACGCAGCCCCAGACCATCACACTGCCACCTAAAAGTTTTACTTTCACTATTGTTTAGTCTAAACCGGATTTAACAGGAAAAGATTTTCTAAAATGTTCCCCTTTTGTCTCAGAAGAATATTTTTGGCAACAATCAGTGTGACGATGAACAGTGGTTCACACCTTAGACATTCTCCAATGAATGCAGACCCTGCCCAGTCTGATGAATAATGACTAACAGAAATGACTAAGGCCAGCAGTGCTTCAGGTGTTTTTTGCTGGATGAGTCACTGATGCGGTCGTGGAGAAATTCTGGTAGCCTTCCACGGCAGAGAAGCTTAACCCCTGTTAAATGTTTTCTCCTTATGTGGATAATGGTTCTAAGTGTGGTTCACTGGGGTTCAAAAGCCTTAGAAGTGGCTTTGACTCTTATTTAATTTTTTTATATGTTTAGATCAGAGCATTAAACGCTGCTTCTTGGGATATTTTAGCCGGTTTTCAAACTGGTTATATTTAGGGGATTTATTTAATCCACTGGTCTGGCAAGAATCAAGTCCAGAGAAATTACACCAATTAATAATTTTAAAATACTGCTTTTCTTATTAACTCTAGTCACCTTTATCATATATATGACATGTGTTGTGAATTGGCGCTATATAAATAAACTGAATTTAATTGAATATCAATTTGTTTGAGAATTTATAGGTTCAAATAAATTTTAAGTACCAAAGGCATAGGTTTTAATCTGATTACAGTCTTCAACTATATTTCATGTTGGAAATTTTCTCTATATATGCCAATATGATAAAAACAATAAATAAAAGTTTCTCCGGCTTACAGGAAGAGGCATTTATCGGAGACAAATAACAGTGGCGTGTCTTTTATGACAAGAATATTTATGATGTTTATAATTATGCTCTGATGTGTTCTTTCATGCCTTTGTTCTCCATGACAGAAGCAATAAAACTTGATTTAAACTTTATAACCTCATACCCAACCGTCGCCTTACCCTGAATGCTTCTCTTGAAGAAGGCCTTGCAACCCTCACAAGACCACACCCCATAGTGGTACCCGGAGGCATAGTCGCTACAAACAGCGCAGAATCGTGTCTCCTTGGCCATCTCAAACCCTCCGGCTCCTGCTCTGAGCTCCCCCACACTGCATGCATCGTCACGGGTGTCACACTGGTCCTCTCTGGAGGCTGGCTGGTGACTGGATCTGCAACAGGCCGTGAATTTTAATTGGTTGATTTGCTGCTCTCATCAAGACAAGTTGCATGGCTTCCAAAAACTAGATAAAGAACAGTACTTCAGCACCATAAAACCAAGGAAGGAATATATTAAACATATAAAGCATGTAAGATACAACTATTGTTTTAAGAATTAAAGCCTAAAAATCAATATAAGATTGAATTGAACTCTGCCTTGAATAATGACTGAGGATAAGACCAGGCTTCTGTTTTCCACTTAAATCAGGAAATGCTCCATTTGTGCGCTTCTGTTGTTCTTACGTATTGTTCCTCTCTCAAGGCCCTTCACAAAGTCCCTAATCTCTGGAATTAGAAACCCCGGACAAAGCGTGATCCTCTCTATGGAGATAGTGGCGCTGTTTTGTGGAAGGCAGGAGATTAAAAAGCTGTGTGGTTAAATAATCATGTTTGTTTACATGGCGTGTTGGAGAAGACTCAACTAAAAAATGCCAATGTCATTATTCATAAGTTGCAAATACTTTGTTTCATTTCTCTGTAATGACTTGATCGAAACCAGGACCAAACAAGTTAGGATAACCATAATCATTAATTATTTTGCAACTTTTAAACTAAAGAAAATGGAGGGAAATTAAAAAAACAGTTTATTTTTTAAATGAGAAATTTAAGAATCCTTAATATGAGAGTATAGAGAGCCCTGGTTGCGTCGCCTGCTTCTGATGAGTTGTAATTTCTCAAAATTTGTGCTTTTGATACAAAAGCGTTGGTTACAAAAATGACATACTGACTTCTTTATTGCTCTGATTTAGTAGCACACATATAAATTGTAATTTTCATACCTGTAAACTGGTGTTGAGGCTGTTTCCAGATAGTGGTGGTTCGGAGCATGCATAAAAGGGCTGAGCCTCGGGCTGGTGGGCACAAACACAAGAGGACTGGTCGGCCCACTCCCCAGAGAATGAAGGCTGCCATCAGACGGTGGTCCCTGGGCGTCCAGAGGAGCAGAGTAGTAGCCAGTGCTTGAGTGGCTGTAAAGAGGCGTTGGGGCAGGGGTGGGGGTGGCATAGTCGTACGTCCCTTCCAGGAAGTCCACAGCAGCTACCCCTCCGGAGCCCCGGCTCTCTTCAGGGTACATGTCACTGAGGGAGGCGCGGGGTGAGGGTGGGAGACGTGGCGGGGAGAGGGTCTCCAGCTCTGAGGAGGCTGGGCTTATCCTGGGTCTGAGTGCTGGTCCGAACTCCTGCTTGCTCTGCACCTGGCTCTGCCTAAGCAACATCACAGCACAGCAGCAGTGATAAGCAACATGATTTAGACTTGCTCTCCCATTTGCTGGGTGGGAGAGTGTGGTGCTGCTCTCCCTCCCTCTTCACCCACTTTTCTTCTGGGTCTTGCCTTTTCCAAGAACTCCTGTCAAACAACTTGGGTGGACAACTATCTGCTTATCCTCTGGCTGCTTGGAGCGTCTGCTCACAAGAGACCAAAAAAAAAAAAAAAAATACAGCTAGAGACTCCTAAAGACTCCTCCCAATCTGACATTATTTTTCACAGTATTTTTTCTTCCTCTAATATATCTCTGCTAAAGTGTGGGAGTAAGGGAAAGCAAGTGGGAGAGAGGAAAAGAAGGATTGACAGAAATAGTGATTCCCAAACAACTTCCTTGTCTGCTCTCCTCCACATAACTATTTCTAATTCACCTTTGTCTTACATCGAAAAGCTTTTTAATGTAAGACAACTGGATTCCAGACTGAAGGCAACTCTGAGGCAGCATAGTGTGTGTGTCTGAATATTCACCCCTCATTTAGCTGATATCGCGCACACTGCGAGTATCACCAGTCTATTTGCAGCCAATTTATAACCCAGCTAACACTCTGCTGTTGGCTAAATCCGAACAAATGAGATACAAGTAGACAGAGCATTCGAAACAACATGGGTTAACGGAAAAATCAAAAACTAGTATGAGATACAACTCACCTCTTATACATGAATCATCCCCGCATATGCTGCACAACAGCGGCTAATTCCCCCTCTCTTCCTCTCTGCCTGCCTCACAGGCATTTAGGTGGGCTCACTCAGAGGGAACAGTGGAAAGGTTTAAAAAAGGATAAACAAATTAAAGATGCAGCCAAATCAATAACTGCAGTGTGTTTAAGAGCCAGGTCACCATAACACAGCAAACAGAACTGGAGGTCAAATCTCATTCTGACATCCAATAATTGCACAATCAATCCCATATAAGGGTATTTTTATAATATAGATGCAAGAATCTGGGCTAAACGAAAATATAAAGACTTAAAAAAAGAAATCCTTCTAGATTTAGGTACTAGTAAGTAGAGGTAATTAATTGCTTTAAAAGGACGTAGTATTTATATTAATATCTACTTAATCATGTACAGAGATTAATATACATTGTATTAAAACTTTTTATCCACCTGTGTGACATTCATTTCTGATTTTAGACCAGTTACGAAAATAGAAATATAGGGAATTTATATTTAAGTATTTGCTAAAAGCCAGAAAAAAACCAGAAACATTTTTATTTTTTATTTTTTTCAAATTCAAGAGTTTACATTTACTTTGATGGTAGGATTACAATTTTTATTTGCATGACTTGAGCCAACATCATTGTAATTCAATCAGCTTCTAACATAGGTTTGCCAGGATTTTGGCCGATTCCTCACAACAGAACTGGTAAAACAGGGCCAGGATTTTAAGCCACTTTCTTATCCCATTACTTTTTAGCCTTTTCGTATACATTTTCTTTTGCATTTATAGTACCTACCCAAAATGATTGCCCTTTTATAAAATCCTGTAGTAATCTGTAATCAATCAGGAGGTGTTCTTGGGTTTATTACTCATTTGGAAGACTGGTTGTTTCCTGGTTTTAACTTTCTGGCTGATTTCCTGCCTCACTCTGTCATTATATTATTATTTCTATCAGGATGCCATTTATTTCATGAATAAACTTATCAGGAGTCTAATACAATGTGTATTTTATGGTCCCATTATAATCTCAAGGTTTTTGATCACAGAGGTTCAAGCCAGTGTGTCCTGGTAAATATACCAGCTAAATAAGATTACAAAAAATAAAAACACAGAAAAAAAAATGGGCCAAGATACCTTTGAGCCATTTCCCTCTTAACAGGTTTTAACAAGAATACAAGGTTTGACACACAATCTATCAAATATGGGTTGTTGAAGTAAACAAAAGCGAAACGAGTACTTAATTCTTGTTAACAAATCCATGAGCAAATATTGACCCGATTGACAAAAAAAAAAAAAGGTTTGAGACAAACCTCGCATCTTTTTTTTTTCTGCAACATGTTTTTTTACTAAGCCTTCAGATTTTCATGACAGGTCGAGTGGAAAATAAGCAGCCCCGATTATACATATTTTTGTGCATTTGCCCTTGAATAAAATTAAGACACCAGGAAACATAAAGTGTGGGTTGAGAAATAAAACAGCTGCTGTAAATGACCTAAATTACCCAAGGATAAGTCACTTACTGCAGTAATGGAACCAATTTTCACGCATCACATTTATTTTTCTAAAGAACATCCTGGGTTCTAATGCACATTTCAGAAACATTTTCCAACGGTTTTGTCAAGTGGTTTCCAACCTGACCTCCGCTATACAAAAGGTCAACAGGTGAACAACAAGCTGATGTCACACGTAACATCTAATGTGCACTAATATAGACAGTGGTTTAAAAAGAAAACTTCCTTATACATTTATATATTTTGCATATATGTATATATATATATACTGCTAAAAAAAATAAAGGGAACACTTAATGTACACATAATGTCAATTAAATCAAACATCAGTGAAATCTGTCCACTTAGGAAGCAACACTGATTGACAATCAGTTTCTCACTATTGTGCAAATAGACAAAAGGTGGAAATGACTGGTAATTAGCAGAACACACTCAATAAAGGATTGGTTCTGCAGACCACTTCTTAGTAGCTATGCTTTCTGCCTGATGTTTGGTCACTTTTGAAGGTTGATATTCCTTTCACGCCCATGGTAGCATGGGATGGACTCTCCAACTCATACAAGTGGCTAAAGCAGTGCAGCTCAACCAGGATAGAGCATCAATGTGAGCTGTGGCAAAAGTTTTGCAGGGTCTGTCAGCACAATGTCCACAGGCTGGAGGCACCACCAGGAGACAGGCCAGGCCCAATGTGGAAAATCTGAAATGCTTCTTTCTATAATCATGATTAAACATATCTTCCTAGAAGCTACATTCAATTTCCTCCACTCCTCAGTTAGGGATATGCAGTTATATCGTCAGGTTTTTTTTTAATTATAAACTCTGCCATCATAACAGCAAATATTGAGGTCAAGGTCTTTACTTTTTTTTAATCTGTTGATCCATGGCAGCAACAATATTAATTATATATATATATATAATTTAAGGCAATTTTGTTTAAATTTGTGTCTCAACATGGTTAACCAACCTAGCCTGGTCATTAATATTTAAATATTAATGACCATATTTAGAGTTAGTATTTGCTTTTGCTTTGTTTTTATGCAATGATATACAGTCCATCAATAATTGACAGGAAAAAAAAAACAAGTCTTTTTTTAGTGCTTAACACCTTTTTAAAATCACGATAAGGACCTAAAGAACATGGGGACAAAAATTGAGTTTATATCACTCATCTCCAACATTCATACCTCTAGAATGTAGTAATAATTTTAGACAGAACCTGTCTGACAAAATGGTCTAAAAGATCAAGAAGAAACAAAAAAAAATAAAAAATGTGAGCACATTTTATTTGAAGCCATCAATAAGTCTTGAAATGTAAAGACATTTCAAAAACATTGGCAATCCAGAGAAAAGTAGTGAGAGCTGTTATCCAAGAAAACGTGAAAACGTGAACTTACCAAAGTTACTCCAAGAGCACATTAATAAATCATTCAGGGGGTCACGAGACAACCCGGAGCAACATCAAGGCAGCCGGGCTCACCTCTGTGTTTTTCTAACTTATCAAAAGAACAACACTGTGCAAATAGAATCCTCAGCAGAGTTTAAAGGTGAAAACCACTGCTGAATTAAAGAAAAATAAACCCCATCAATATTGGCTTCTTCCCGATCCAAAGTGCACCTGATCCTTAGGACTATTTAGTGGGCTGAAAAGGTGTGGGTTCTGTACAAGCTACTGGAAAATTGAATGCTTTTCCAAAAAGATTGTTGAGTATTGCAGTTTGGTTGTCTGGGTTTTGATTTAAGTCAAACTGGATTTTTCATTGTCCTGACAAAACCATGAATTCTGCTCTCAATAAATACTAGACTTATGGGGAATGCCTTCAAGCTAATTTAATCAACCACTGAATGGCTTCGGAGAGCAATAAAAGTCTGAAGTTCAATCCAAAATAACTTCGTCTCAAGCATTGGCCAAAATACCTGCTATAAAAGCATTATGAACAGTTACTGGAAATTTTAAAATATTGGTAGTAATTAATCTTAGTACCCCTTTTAATGCATTTTAAATATTGTTTTTATTTTTGCGGCACTACCGTCTTTTCTTTCTTTCCGATGTTAAAAACCTGGGATGGACGTGTCAGGTCCTACACATGATACTAAACATTTAAACCTAAGACCCCTTTTCTTTGCATCCAAATAAAAATTTTGTTGCCTAGTAAAATTCTGTCAATATTTGACCATCTGTTAAAAAGTTTCCATCAACTCAAAGTTTAAAAAATGTTCTCCTCAAAAAATATAGGTAAATATTCAATGCAAAAATTGATTCTGAACCCAAAATAAATAACAACCAGGCTTTG